ATATATATAGTTGCTAACCCGCGTGTGAGCGTTGTCTTCTTAACTGAATCGTATGTGACGCTTTATATCGCTGAACAAAACGTTTTCCGTAAGTGGTACGCCGCATGCTGCGGACGATCAATTTGGTTACGACGGTAGAACGTAACGCGTCCAACTTTCCAGCTTTGCTTATATATCCAAAATGTCACGCTAAACCCTGTAGCAACCCCGAATAGTATGTTATGTATCCGATGGAGCCCGCGACCGGAAGCAAACTCTGACGATTGTCACCACAATTTACTGGTTTACTGAAATCATAAGTGGAAACAATATTAGGAATAAAATCATGTAGAGGATAGTTGTAAAATGGTTGAATTCACATTGACAGTGGTGGCTAATAGGAACTTACGTATACATAACGCCGTGTGAAAATATTCCAGGTATTTATTGTAGCTACCCTGTCAGCGGTGGTTTTAGGCCAACAGCAACAGGCGGCACCAGCAGCACAGGCTCCTCAGCAGGCACCTGCGCAGCCTCGCCACCTTCCGCCAGCAGCAGTCCACTTTGTCAACATAGGCGAAAAACTCGAAGGGGACTACAAATTTGGATACGATACCGGTAAGTTTTCCTTGGCGTTTGCTGCTAACCAAGCAACGCATTTGCTAGAATATGAATTTAGATAGTAATAGTCACGGATGAGCTGAATCTGTTTTTTATATCTGTATATATATTTAAGGGGTTAACATGTTACTAGTAGCTCGTACGGTTAGCAAAGTAATTGTTCATGTAAGTCATTATAATAAGCTAGCAAAGCGGTGTGTTTTTGTAGCCAAGAAAAAAATATAAACATGTAACTGCTACGGCATTTGCTGTATGAATCGGTGCGTGTTGTAAAAAATAAACTCATCGCTAGTGATTTATTATAGAGTACCTCATTGACTTTCATCCATTTACAGATACTAACATGGCAGCCACCACGAAAAAATGAAAACAATCACAACGGATCTGAATTTCATGAAATAAACATAGCAAGAATTATGCTCTGTCCGATGAGTTTGTCTACCTTAAGTAAAATGTCGAAAACTACGCATGCATTATACACAAAATCTCTTACAATTTTTCGAATGGTTTTAACGGAACTGATCGAACTTCCGGGTGCTTTAGGACACTGGCAAGGTCGAGCATTACCGACTCAGATCGGAGTAGTTTCTCGCTTGAAATGTGCTAACAGTATTTGAGCTACATGGTAATTATGCTTACAGACATAATTAACTTATGAACTTAGAAAAAAAATATTTGTCTTTGCTTGTGTCATTTGATGCTTACGTCAAGCACACTAAAGAGTCATTGAAACGAAGTACATTTATTACGCCTTATTTGCAGTTATTATCTAGCCACTTTTACAAATAAAAATAGCAGCATTGCTTTATTGTAAGATATATGCACAGCTTAGAACACACATGAAGTTCGTTAAATTTTAAATCAGCCAAATAACTGTACCCTACTATCTAGTCGGTCAATTTTAATTTTGATTTTTCTCTTGATTTGGAAAAATCCAAAACTATTTCAGGCTATTTATATTGTCTATTTATAGAGCTCTCATTTAATCAAGTAGCGAAACAGATTACCATTTCCCAAATTTGTTTGATAATACTGAACTACGAATGATTCATTGTTTACCCCCCCCCCCCCCTATTTCAATGAAATCGATACCTATTAGCCGACAACAAAAAGATCCTCATCATCGAAGGCGCTTATGTAATCACTTCAGCTGTGAAGTGCGACAGTCTCACTCATCTGACTGGTGCTTGGGTGTGCGGTCTTTCTTTGGATATAATTGATTCGCCAGCTTACGCCAGCCTGCCAGATCTGTGCGCATTTCGTTAAATATCAATCTCATTAATTCCTTGCCTAATAAATACATTTTGAAATTGTATAAATGCTGAAGAAAAGCATATATTTGCTTTAAGATGACGGGACGGAAAGTCTCAAAACGAGTCACTCATCTAACCCGATCCTAGTATTCTGATCTGATGTGATTTTGTATCATTGGCCAAACATTTTTAAGCAAGGACCTTAAGCAAATGTTTGGCGTGCGATGCCGTGGCCCAAGATTGCCTTTGTTTACCTGTTATGCACATTCATGTTATAGAAGACAGAAATATGAACTGCCTGCCGAACATCAGTGAAAACACAAAGGCCTATTAAATAGATAATAGGCCCGATTCGGCACTGAGTATCGATACAGGGTCGGCGCGTTAAATGTACTCCAGATCTTCTACGAGAACACTGGCCTTTTGACGCTGAACGCCTCATGAACATGTCCAGCCGCGGTGACTCGTCTTAGAACTTTTCGTCTAGGTCAACAAAATATGCTCAGTGTGTACTATACTATTTACCGCCATTCACATCATACGCAATATTAAAATACGCACCTTAATCTGATTTCAGGAAAGGGCAACGAAAATGGCCAGTCCTTTCGTGAAGAAACCCGTCTCCCCGATGGCAGCGTTAAGGGAGCCTACGGTTTCATCGACGCTTCAGGTAAGCGACAGTTTTACGCAGGAAAACAAAGACACGCCCAACTCGACCGTTATTAGTTGGGCATGCTAACATCCCTGATAGTAATGATAATAAGTTCTATTGATTCTAACGCTGCATAGAGTCAATGGCTTTGCCCGGACACGAGACGCGGAGCGCCGGCATGTTGCACATGGATGATTTTTTTAGTGTAAAAATACTTTACTAAGCGGAGCATTTTTGTGTGATGATTTTATGCTGCCACTGTGATTCAGGCAAAATGAGAATCATTCGATACACCGCTGGCAAGGACGGCTTTAAAGCGGAAGGCGATATCTTCCAGGTAATTCATGCGGTTGAAATGAATTTTGGCATATACCTTTAATCATTGTCGATTGATGAAACAGAGATGTGTTGTATATTGATTTTGCGCTGGGTCACCGATATGTTTTCATGGAAGGGGGAGCTAGGGTAAATGAGTGTACTTTTTTTACAAACTTAACAGTGAAGATAATATTTGTATGTTTAACGAAGGATTCCCAGTATTTTAGTAATAATGTAGCAATAGTCTTTGAAATGTATGCTGAAAACGTTCGTTGAAACTAAGATAGCATTGTCGCGCGCATCCCTTCAATTTAGTCGCCTCTTCAAGTCAATATATATATATATAACTCGACGTGAGGGTAAAAAAATAGGCAATATAGTTTAGCTTATTGGTGTGTGGCAGAGTAATGGATCACGATTAATAATAGTACCAAGATGAGATGGCTTAATGTTAAAATACTACTTAGATTCTAAGCTGCTGAGATGCTGGCGGCCAATTGATTACATATTATTATGATAAGGATGGTTTCTCAGATTTTCTGTTGGTCAGATGCGCCCATTTTAACAATTAGTAATGATACATGTATCATTGTGATTGTGTGCTACTACAAAGGACGGTGCTCCTGCTAACACCCCTGGCCTTAACGGCCCTGCCCCAGCTGCTGCCCCTGCCGCCCCTGCCGCTCCTTCCCACCAACAAAGGGCAAGTGAAAAAATACAATAAAAATAAAATAAAATATCATAATGATGAAGAACTTGCTCGTAGAACCGCACTTTTCTTGAGATTTGCTGCTAGATGATGTTTCATATGCTTTTTGTGATATCGATGATGACAATACATATGGAGCAAAATATTTGTTTTGCTCCATCATCATTTGCCGATTAATGATTTCCTATTAATTTGAAAGGCGCACGGCATAATAGTCATACAAGTGAATACTGTAATAAATGACTGCTGATAGATCAGCATGTCTAATAGAAAAACAATTACCTTAATTTAATACGACATAGTAATATAATAAGTAATTCTACTTAATTTAACAATTTATTCAGGCTGCTCCTGTTCCTCAATACCTGCCACAAACTGCGTCCCAGCCCCAGTATCAACCGCAGCCTCCGTATCAACAGGTATCTTCATCCCCACACCCACAGCCCGCCTCGCTTCTCTTCACTCTCCTTTTGTGATGTTAATGCTCTGTTATTTATTATGATGATTATCATTGCGACGGTTAGATATAGTAGAAAAGAAAATACGACCGCTCATTGGTATTTTAGTTGTTACAGATCTCATATCTTCGAACAAGTTTACAAAGCCCATTCAACAGCTACAAGTTAAGCCGCCTACAAAGGTCGTCTAAATATTTCTTTTGCCTGGAGTAACTGCACTTACGTGTAGATCAACGTTAACTTCTAGGAGGAAACGGCAATTACTTGTTTCGTCCGATTTAGCGTAATGCAGGCACAACAAACATTTTCGAGCCTAGCAACAGTATGGTTTTAAAGCACCAAGTTGTAAAAATAAACCTTTAAATAGTAGATGCCCTGACACTATTGCAGTCAAAGGGAGGCAGGGTGCAGATCAGACCTAATCTTTCTGATTATCGTCATAGTCATTGCCGCCAACTCTGCCAGCTGTCGCTCTTAGATCGGCACAGGAAACCTCCCCTAACGTAGCAGTCGTATTTTAGATTGTTGAAGATATCCGATACAACACTTCGCATCGCAGTTATGCCATCAGCTTGCTTCTGCAGTTCCACAAATAACTGACACTTAGGAAGTTTACTAAGTAATGATGGTCACATTGCTAGATTTAGCATATACCTTGCTAATATTAAGTGTCCATTCATATCTCTATTTGCAAGGCCGTAGATATGTTGATGTTGTAGAACTCAACATGACGCACGAAGTAAAAAATGAACATATCAAATCCTAAAAAATCAAATAGAATAATTTGATAGAATAGAAGAGCGTAAAAATAGACGTTCTACTAGCATCTGGGAGCGGGGAATTCCATAATTTAATCGAAGCTGAAAGCCAATGGAAGCCTACATCATAGATTATACTGAGAATATTTAGCTCGATGGCGCTGAATAGAATACTGTGTTTATACCGCGACCTTGCGAGAGTTGTCCTTCTGTAGGCGCTTTTTGAAGAGGCGATCAGGCGAGTTTGCTTCGTTCGTTCAAGGTGTTATGTCGCACCTATATCGTATGTATATGCTGTTTGTGAAAGCTCTTTATGACCATCATCTAGGTAGCTTCCTAATCGATGCTCGCCTAAATGGACCACCCCTCGCGGTTATCGTAATACAAAGCTTCCGTGGTGCGAAATCTTCTTCTATTAAAAATCTTAAGAAAAACTGTTGGCCTAAAACGTACGCAGTGCATAGGCCATGCTGCAAAATTAAGTAGCCTTATACAGATTATATAACACATAGCCCAGACAGTTTTATTTTCAATCAGAACTATTCGTACCAACGTTGAGAAGCTTGTATTATGATCGCGCTTGTGCTTTCCTGTGAAGTAGACGTTTCGTACGTTGGATAATAAATAGTCACAAGAACTGATAAGGGGACATCGATATAAATGACACTTAGAGGTTGATCACATGAGAATGAAAAGTGTCAATAGTAACTATACCTTCTACTATATGCATGATGTTTGATGAAAGTATTCACAAACTACAATGAAAGAAAGTTACGTTGACCTAAAGCATTCGACTGTGTTTAAGTTTGTCTAGGCCTCATTGTAATTAGCTTGCGCCGTACTCAATAACTTAATGTGTAGTAGATCGAGAAAGGAACTACTGCGCTAGTAAATGATTTACTCCGAAAAATTTCTGCTGGTTTAAGGAAAACTTGAATATTTTAATTGAGGTTTTGTGATTGAATTTAATCCCAAAGTTTTCTACGGCGAGCGTCGACGCGCATCCTAGCGTCCGTCCATAGCAACGCACTTTAACAACGGGCATGCTCTACACTCCGAAGCTGCGTCGACCGCGACAGATAATCCGAGATGTATGCCATCTTTCATAAAGGTCATCTGGAGAACTTGATACTGTTTTTCATTTTCGGGTACTTTCTATCCAATAATATTTCCACTCTCTTGTCTTATTTCTGCCTTTCGCTATGGTCCCCCTACTATTCCACATGCGGTGGGTCAAGGACCATATTAGCCTCCCATTAGCTTCGCAAAACGTGTCGCATGAGCATTGTTTTCACGACTACTGCAAAAGACCATGTGATATTTATCACTACCTTGCTCATTATGTATGATGAAGATATCTTTGTACTTCGATATTGTAACCACTAAAACTACTTAGGCACCAACTGCCCCGGCCTACCGTTCCCCAACGGCTGCCCCTTATCAAGTGCCCACATATCAGCCGATTCTGCAACAGCCACAAACTCCATCCTATCAGGCCACTGCCCTGGTGCAGCCACAGCCTTATCAGCCACCTGTATATCAACAGCAGCAGCAAACACCTCAGACCTATCAACCACAATCGTACCTGCCGGCCATTCCCCAATATCAGGTAGAATAATAAGCGAGAGACTAAGTGAACACCGAGAATCCGTGAGCTCTCGGTTGCAGCGACGCATTTAGTGAAGATAAAATAATGAACTTCAGCCCTCTCAGTCCCTTCTTAGAGAATACTACGTGAGAAAGTTGGAAACGATGCGCAGCTACTAAGAAAAGGTTGCCAGGATGGCCTACCACTATTGAAAGTACATACATTCAAGAGACTCGTCAACCGGATTCAAAGATAAATTATCAAAGACCTAATACTTTTACACTCATGAGCATCCATACAAACGTTGGCCACTGTAGCATTTATCATCATAATAGGCCAAAATCCTGACCAATTGGCAGAATCAACATTCCTGCTTGATATACCATGATGTTAACACAACCCCTCCCCGTTGAAAATAACTAGTATTTATATATTAGCAATTATAATTGATGCTAAGTGTCTCTCACTGTTACTGATTTTTTTGTGTTTTACGTAAATTAGTGAAATTTCCCGATTTTTAAATGTAGAATTCTATGATTATCTAGAGTGAAATGGTATACGACAATTGTGTTGGTAAGTACTATGCTTCGTTGAAGTAGCTTAATGAAATGACAACCGACATATAAGACGATCAATAACGATTTTAGTCGAAAACACAACCTGTCAGATACTGCGTTTTCCTAATAAGTAGAGATCACATATATCGCTGATAATCAATACAACCTTTCTGCGCTTTGCCCCTGTGCGATTAGGCGCGATGCACCGAATTACAATGTGCTATAACGGTGTAGTGGTAATGTATTCATTTCTATGAAACTCCGAGATATCTAAGGAGGCCCAGGTTCAAATCCGGGCGTAGATATAGTTAGTTTGTTGTTAGGAGCCAGTCATAAGCCAGATAGAAAACTCGAAACATTGAGCAACTATGAGCCAGAATTAGATATTCAAGAATAGATCAAACGTATAATGAGCTATTGGGTATTAGGTGAAAGATCTGAAATATATACAATTGTGTATGTTGCACTTATGCTCCATAGCTCATCTATTTGGAAATAAAAACTACATGTAGGCAATAACGGAAGCTGTTGCTTTACCATGAAGGAAAATAACCACGACATTTTCCCGCAGTCTCTGCAGTACCGCCCTGAGCGTGCTAACACCTACCAGCCAGCGTCTCCAACTTACACTCCCCAATCCATCCAGTACAGGCAAGCTCATATATTGATCGCAACTATATTACTATATACATTACATATATATATATATATATATATATATATATTCAAATGGTTAGGTATATGTTAAACGAAGAGAAACATTAGGGAACAAATTATTTCACCTAATATCAAAAAGCTTTTCGAGCCTATTTTACTCAACTCCTTCGATTCTAGAGCACTCCTTATAAAAATTAGATCGCTGAATAACCGTAAGGGCATCACGGGTGAGCGATATCAAAATGATAGCTTAACAAAAAGGGAACATGGAATGATTGACAAAGGCCCGTAACGCTCATACCTCAAAATACCAAAATGACTATAACGTGATGCTTAAATATTTAAATCTGGTGTAATTAGGCGATTGAAACGAGGTAACGGACTATTTCAGTCTAACTAGCTAGTAATATTCAATCATTTTGCTGAAGCAAAGTTATCAGATTGGTAAGGGTATAGGGTCACTGAATATCACAGAAAAGCAACGGAGTGACTCGCAAAATATAGCAGTAGGATTCGGAATAGGGCTACTGCTAAGCGAACAACCTTCTACAATGGGACTGCAATATGGCAACAACTATAACTGTGCAATATTTTCCCCATGAATAGACCTCAACCGCAACCCCAGTCCGGCTACCCGCAATATGCCAGCCAAATTTCTCCTCAGTATGCCCAGCCCAACTACGCCTATCCGGCTAGCGTTTCCGGTGGTTCGTATTTGAAGAGTTCGTTAGCAATCAAAATCATTAATGCACAACTATTTTATGTAAATATGGTAGACAAGCTCTGATATTTATGATCAATCCAAATAATTTATACACGTAAAGCATAGAATAGCATAGGTAAGATTTGCCCAAAAATGTGTTCACTGTAAACTTGAGTATATAATTCTTGTAGGTTACCGTCAGCCCCAAACATCAAACGGACTTTACGCTTCCGCTCAAACCAATAGACCCCAGAAGTTACAGCCGGCGTTTCCAGACTTCTTCCGTGTTTCTTCGCCAACTCAAGCTACTCAGGCCCAGTCCCAGGCCCAGGCTCAAGCCCAGGCCTACCAACAACCTGCACCTCAACAATATCGGTAAGATGTTATTATTAAAACTACTGGATCACATGCGTTAACATAATTGGTTCGCTTGTCCTGATAATGGGGCATATTATCCTATTTTCCCTGCTATAGGCTATATGCCCTTCGGGGATTATACGTATCGACCGACTAACGATGTCCACTTTTCAGATCCGTCGTAAGTGACGCCCCTGTATCTCCAGTTCAAAGCTATTCTCCTCGTCCCGTATATAGACAGCAGGCTTTTCCCAGTTACAAACACACACCACACCAGTATCAGGTATAAGCACATTTGATATTGATCAATCAAATTAAACATGGAATATGAATACAAGGGCCGCTTTCATCGACAAGCAGATAAATCATTAAGCGTACGTAATATTGTGCTTAAATAGCGGCCTGTTGTTCTGCTAGTACCGCAGATAGGTAGCCACGCTGGAGAAACAGGTTTAAAGTACTCGTATCATATTTAACTCAACCAGTGGGGGAAAAGTTGTGTTTTATATGTATGAGAGATAATAATAATAATAATACATTTATGTGCTTAGAACATGCGTCTATCAGGCTTACTCTGATGCATTTAACTGAACCGGTACGCTCATGATGTTTTGTTGATGGCGTTTGTGACGTGACAGCTGGCGTCTAAACAAGGAAGTGGGCCTGTGTCATCCTACAGTCCTGCTGCTCAGATCAACGATGCCGGCCCGAAGAAGAAATACGAAGATGGCCAGTACGACCCTGAATTGACAAAGGCTGGTCTCTACTATCCCGAACTTTACGAGAAGATTTCGACGACGGGTAAGGACGGAACGCCGCGATCTCCTACAGCAGCTCAGATTGCCGCTGCGGCTGCCAACGCCCCCCAGAGCCCCCGACCACTGCCTTACTTCGATCCCTCACTGCTCGCTTACAATATTGGCACCCAACAGACCCAGGCGGCTCGTCAGGCCTAATGGAGGAGCGAGAGGATCAGAATATTTCATACACTAAGGACATTCATTATATATACGTATAACGCGAAGAACTCGAATGCAGATATTCGAAAAGACAAATTTTCGCATAAGATAACAAATATGGGTTATACTTCTTTTATCATGTATAAACTATGATGTGGCCAAATGATGGTTGATAAACAGCCATATCATGATCATATAATATGTATAATCACGCAGATTGGTCATGTAACGGTTGGCGCACTTAACGGTAGTAATAGCAATTACGATGTTCCTGTACCTAGACTTAAAGTTGTAGATTTAAACGCAAAAGACGCACATATCTGTGACGTATTTCTCCTATTTGAGGTGACGAAGGCTACTAGCATCAGCCGGTCAGCTCATCGTCCGCTGCAAACGCTAGCAGCTCTCCGATCTAATACAAGCATGTTGTTTTTTTATGTTGCAGCGCGCCCCAAGAAAATTTAAGAAGACCACTCTTCTGGCCATGCAAGACCAAGATGAATATGATTAGAGGTTGACTTAATAACTACTAATTGCTTGTTCAAGATTGAAGACTTAGAAATACTCAAGACAAGCTGACCAGTACAGACGATTAAATTTTGAAAGAATCATCTTCCTAATTCTAATAGTGTTAGCAACAACGATGTACTTAGAAAAAAAAAGCCTTCTGCTTCATTTACGGAAGTGACAACTGAAATATTGCTCACAAGAATTATTTAGAATAGTCTATATGATCATTCAAACGAGGTGCAGGCAAGATGCACACAGTATTATAACTGAGATTGATTCTACTAATCAAATCATTACGATTGCAGCTTTGAAAACATCGACAATGACGATGGGTAGTTATCTGTAAGCTAATAACGCTGTTTTTGTTAGATAATGTATTCGGAACAATCTTCAACTCTTCCGATATAACAAAAACGCGAGTGTATTAGGTATTTACAATAGATTCACGTACATGTATTGTTCAATAATCAAATTTCTATACTTTGCTACGTTAATCTATTGCATCGCCACCCGAGGGTAAAAGTGGACAATGACTGCAGGGAAAAAAAACGAGATTCGACTTAGGAAGAGATCGGTTAATAATTATAATAATAGTATTGTTATAGTTAACATTTTACTGCTGGTATCCTCTATTAGTTTCACTTTCTCATTTTGGTTTGCCATAACGGCGGAATCGCGTACGTTGCCAGCGCCATCTTGCGTCGTGCTACAGTTTTATCATTGTTGATATTGTTATCATAATTACTTACCTCATGGCTGCAATGAATCCTTTTATGTAAAATAAAATAAATTCTTATTTTGTTCATTAGTTTTTAATTCAATTACGTAGTTAGAATAGAATAAATAGATTTTTGCGCGTGTGCGAAGATATCACGGTTAACTACTTTTCGAAGATTGTGAACATGCAACAAATTCCGGCGCAATGAAAATCATATGAACTGTTCCTAGGTGCACAGACATTAGTAACACATAAGTAAAATGAAATTTAATATGAATTATTTAAAAAATCACACTGAAATTTCTGCGAAAGTTGCTAGCAATGAACAATTATTCACGACCACCTTTAACCTGATATGGGGGATATGGGCCCGCAAAGTAAACACAACATTTCTGCAGCTGTTGAATTATTGAAATTTAGGTAACACTGTAGCTTATAATTACACGGGTGTTGGCGCCTGATTGTTTTACATAACGACAAAAGTTAAAAGCTGTCTACTTTGTGTGCTATATTTGAAAAAACGACCTACAAGTTTTTGTCGGTTGACAGTCGCTTCTTCAGCTTGTCCTTCAGTCTGCAACAGGCCTAGACTTGATTTAATTTAAAGAACTAAAGCCTATTTATCGTGTTTATCTCGTTATATGAAGATCTTATCATGTCTTATGAATGATAAACTCTATTGAATAAGACCAACAAAATAAATATAGAAAGAAAAAACAGTTGATTTGGTCTTAACGTGTCTAACTGCCACTGAATAATAAAAATAAATTAAAAAAATGTTAACGAGCAAAAGCTATTTAGCCTACCAAATGTTCTTAAGAGAAAAGTTGCACGAAGACCGCTCTGAGGATAAATCTGATGATCCTGTTTGGAATATTACGTATATACATACATCAGTCTTTAAATAAATACTGCTATTTATCCATCCACAGGTAGATAGGCCCGATTAGACGTTCCTTTTTAAATTTAAAGCGGCCAGATCCATTATTATCGATAACTTGGGTTTGTTACTGCTGCTACTGTGGCCCTGTTTCAGTCATTTTCTGTAGCTTTCGCCTAATATCTCGGTTGACCCTTGAGCGAATCTCTTTAAAGGGAGAGGTGGTATCATGCAGCAGTAACCAGGCCAGCCACGATATCGAGATTAACTTTTTGCTAGCTTTTTTGTCAGTATTATTTAACAGTTATTTTTTTCAGTGATAATAATTATAGGTTTTTAATTCACAAAAATTGTGAATGGTGGTATGTCTATATATAACCATGCTCAGTGTTTACATCTCCTCTTATCTATTTTCAATACAAATGAAAAAAGTCTCAAAAGCGCATTGTAAGTGTTGCAATATGCTGCCGTGTAGTATTTTGGCTATCATGCGTATTCTTACTTGATTTGTACCAAATCCTACTTCCTAAGGGTATTGTGCGCAAGTTGTGCTTAACGCGTTCAAAACTAAAACTTAAAAAGTAACTTCTTCCATCCTTGATTGTAAATAGAGGCTCGCATAGTGATATTTTACTGTTGCTCCTCAATTGTGTAGGCATTTCCTCCGATAACCAAAACTATGTTATTAATGCTCGTAACGGTGAGTCTGTCTTCTGTCTGAGATGCTTGTTCCACTTGTCCTCTCATAGAGGTTGATCCACTTATAACTGAGATTATAAATATGGCTAATTTTAGGTGTCATATAGCGTTCTGCCACTTTGGTATCAAAAAAAGCTCATATTCTGCGTGCCACTTTGTGCAAGCTTTGTAGTATCAAAGCGCATATCCGATACGGCACTCTAAAAAATCCGTCAAAAAAGTCTGCTGCGCTTCTTTAGGCTGCAGATATTAGCATCTTTAATATGTTAGCTAGTATAAATACGCCATTTTTATTTATAGACATTGTGTGGTAGTCAATATAAATATGCCATATCAGTATCTAGCTGACTGCAAGATTTAAAATCGACGCGGTGACTAAAACACCCATAAAGCACTCCTTCTTGAAACTGAACGCACTTCCTTTTTACCTGAACAGTGGCTCAACTAATAATAATAATAAAAATAATCACGAGAATGCTATTACCCACCATTGTTTCCGATCGTATAATATAATTTTAATGTACGCGTGATGCGAGGATTTTTATGTACCTTAATTTTCCCCACTCTTGTCATTAAAATGGCTTACATTCAAAAAGAAAGGCAAATTTTGGATTAAAAAAAAGCTAAGTTCGATTTTAACTTATACGCTGGGTTTTTATAATCTGTACGTGAAACATAACCTCAACCTACTCCTTCCCTTGCTGAGAAAGGCTATACCCTTCAAGCTGCAGCAGCAACAATTGAAATGAAATGCGTATTTTTCACATAAATGCTCGGCCGCAACATATGAAAAGAAAGGAAAGAAGAATGGTTTTTAACATGCAGTTACAATGTTCCTTCCCAGTCCATTCTGGCATCGCGAACAATCAATTCATTGTCATAAAAGTTGGACTGTTGTCAAAATGGAAGCTCCCACTATCTGCCCACTAATAGGAGGTTTGCTTCTAGAATTCATTCCATGAAAATAGCGCGACTTCCTGTATGTATATGTCGACGACCGCCCTATAATGGCTTTAACAATACTTGCAAGTTTTGGTGTACAGACTTCATTCATAGGAGACATTACGATGGAAAAATTCGAAGAAAATACATTTTATCCTTAAAAGTAAAGAAAGTATGGTACAAGCTTCAATGTAGGCAGGTGCTTTTTAAAGGTGCTATCAATAAGATTTACCTAGTGGCGCCAGGTAATGGACTTAAAGCGTCAGGTGTTGTATAATATAAATTTTCGGAATGAATGACGCAGACGAATACCTATCAACAGTATCCGCACGAAAACTATAGCATAGTTTTCAGAAGTTTAATACAAATCTCAAATCAATCCTTCAGCACCCGACTGTATAAGACGAGTAAGACTTTACAGGTACAATGTATAGGTTTACGTGAAGGGGCTGTATATGTGTGTATATATATATACCTAAAACAATTTGATAGAATTGTCGAAACGGCATAATAGGCTAATTGAAACGAGCTATATCGTGATCAGCCAACGCAATTTCTACAAAATGACAAGAACAACTATAAAGGAGCGTAGCATAACCTGATAACAGAACCGTTGTGCAGAACCTGAAGCGGAGCATACTCGAACTGGCTTAGAACCTCAGAAAAAACAAAAATGTTGTTCGGGGTAGTAGACATGTATAATGGTGAAACATGTTAGAAGCCACTTGAATTTGCGTGTTCAAAGCTCTCTAAAGAAAGATCATGTGTGCTGAACCTCCTAACCACACAAGGTCCTATATTACTTGTCTTCATGCATGTTTAAAAAATGCAATCACAGTCGAAGTCAAGGTAAACAAGCTAAAGCGGCATAAAATGAAATTTGAGCGTTTCCTAAGCCGTTGTGTAACTTCCAAGTGGTAATAAAGTTTCCTAATAACCGCGTGAGTACCTTATACTGTCTTTCTTGCATGCACGGATTCATTTCATTTTTGGCAGCAAAAAACCTTGTAGCAGTTTTCTTCCCAGCGCGCCTCAGAGCCGCGACGTTATTATTAATCGGAGGTATCTTTGCTAGAAGACAAAATATAGGATAATGGTACCGTGTGACACCTTACTTCCAAACATGTGTGTACCTATATAAGAGTGCATTAATACGCACTAAAAGCCCCGGTGGGTGTTGAAGCCATAACCTGTTACCTCAATAATACATCGTCACATGCTTCCCCGTAAATGTCGGTAGAATGAGAATCTCCTTTATGCTTTGCTGATATAAACTCGTTATTATATCATTTATCTTACGTAGAGAAGAAAAAGTTACTCCTTCGCATGTGTTGCCAAAACCTGGCTCTACAGTCCTCCAGAGGCAGAAAGCAGTCCTAATACTGTACTGTAACTCTACCCGAAGAGGTAACGAGGCAAATATTTGGAATTTCTACCCGTCTCTGTTAGCATTAGCCTGCGCGAAACGGTTACACAATGTTTTGAATTTGCCCGCGCCTCAGTGGCGAGAGCAGGTATTCCCTCGCCCAACATCCACCAGCCAGCGAGCTAACCAACCAGTCAGCCAGCCAGCCACAACCTGTGTGTACCGGCAGCTTTCGGTGTGCACGCATCACTATGTACGGCTGGGTACGGCTGAGCGGGTGTGTGTATATGTGTTTGTTTGTTTGTTTGTTTGGACACACTTCTGCTCGTACTGCCTACAACGACGGTTGTCTTATGTGCGCTTTGTGTGTTTCTCTTCGAATTTAGTGAACATCAATCAGCCGTGAGATCGCAAGCGCAATGCCGCTGAGAAAGGTAACAAAGATAAATTAATGTTACGAACTCTTTGAAACGACGCATTTGGGTAAATAAACATTTGTAAATAGTGGAAACACTGCGTCAATTGGTGCGGTTTGCGTAGAATTTGATAGTGGCCTTTTTTGATTTGAACAGGATATAGCGGTATTATGCGATGCAGTGGAACGTCGTATGAATGTTAATTCATTGGCATTGCCCCGGCCAATTTTTATGTTTTTTTTTTATATTGAGTTCCTATTTCATACGTAAAAACCACGTGTGTGTGTGTATAAGTAATCAACTTTCGCAAATAGTAACAGGATATTGGGTGTAGTAAACAGTTAGAAGGCCTTCGTTTTCTCCGTCCCGCCAAAAATTACCCGCTAGCCATATCTTGAGTGGACTGTTACCATTGCACGCTTGTGATGCACTACTACGTTTCTACGCGTGTTGTCTTTAATATTGTAAAAAAAGTGGATTTATGTTATTATTATCATCATTTATTTTGTTCAACAAATTCACAGATTTGCATGACGCAAATTAATTCTTGATTTTTTTTGGCACTTGTGTTTTCTATTTTAGCCAAAAGCGACTGCAATTGAAAACGGGACTAATGCTTCTGCGGAAACAGCTATGGAATTAGGTAAGTGTAATATATTAATTACTGGAAAGGGTGCAACGGTTCACTGAGTGCACTGAGCAAGTGCAAGTTATTGCTTACTAAAATATTCACTTGCCTTCTGAAATGCTCCCGGAAATTAGGCCGTCTGATCACACCATCTAGATACATCGTGATATTTCGGTGTTTTGATGTATTGAATATAAACAATAGTAAAATTAATGATTATTGATTTGTGTAAATGACTGGTAATAAAAGTCGAACAATGAATTGAACTCGGAAATCCTAATCTTTCTTTCTTTAGGTGCTTGTTTTTTTTACATCATGCATTGTAAGTAAAAATAACGACGTACCATCTAAAGATAAAGATTCAATTAATGATGACAAAAATAAAGTAGTAAAGCAAAAACGGAACTGGTCAGTATAGTAAAAAAAAACTTGCTCACTTCATGTAGTCAATAATAAGTAAAAACTTTTGTTTCTATTGTTTAATTAATATGTTGTTTGAAATTTAAGCATCAGTATTCTCGTTTCGTACAGTTCGCCGTTGTCATAATCGTTATGCTTATTGATTTCAATCCAAGGACCAAAAATGACCGTATTACCTTTTATATGAGACTATAACCGTATATGCTGTGCATTTTAGGTGGAAGCAATGGCAAGCTAACGCCAAAACAAAATTCACTGAACAACAACCACAACGCGAGCTCCAAAACCGAAGATGAATATCACTCCGACAAAGAGTTGGCGCCTCCAAAAAGGCCACGAGGTAGGCCGCGTAAAAAAGTTAATTTCGGCAATAAAACTGCAAGTGATATCGTAAATGGGTCTGTCACCACCGAACATGAACCAAAACGCAAAACAGCGCGGAAGATTAAGGTTGTTGCCATTCCAAATCTTGAGGTAGGTTGGAGTCAGTAACAGTTGCTTCCAGTGTTTATGGAAGTGTGCGTGTCCTGGTGTTCCAGATAGACTAACTAGCTTATCATATCCTGTGCACCGGTAAAAAGGTACCTCAAGTTATGGGAGAAGGGAAATGCCTGGCAGCAGGTGATGGTGACGCTGGCCAGCTGGGCATTGGCGAAGATGGACTGGGTGGCAAGCCACGATTCGTTCCTGTATTTGCTCTTGAAGGTGAAAATGAAATACAGCCTAAGGCAGTGCGTTGTGCGGCGGGAGGAATGCACTCGTTAGTGCTCACCCATAAGGTACAAGGCAACAGTAGATACCTGTATGTCTATGTATTTGATGTTCAGACGGGTGCATATGTTAATAATAGTCATGTAAATTATGTCAACTGAAACTAACAAGCAGAAAAAATCAATTTATCTTACGTAGGAATTTTGCGTAAATAATATTAGGGACAGACAATATAGTATATGACCTAAGATCTTCGTTTTCACTCTGTGGCTCGAATCTATGAGCGCCTCTTTTTTGTTACAGGGCGAAGTGTATTCATTTGGCTGTAATGATGACTATGCCTTAGGTCGAGTTACTGCTGAAGAGGAAGATTCTTACATTCCAGGACGCGTTAGCGTTCCCAACGAGATTAAGGTATGTATTTTAAATTGCATGTGAGGAAATCTAACGAGTATAGTCTTTTATATGCGGTCTCAGTTACGGCTCCATTAATGCTTAAATGTTGTTTCAGGTCGCTAAAATAGCAGCTGGTAACGTACATAATGTTATCTTGACAACCGATGGCCGCGTGCTGATTTGGGGCATATACCGCGACGCAGGTGGCAGATTTGGAATGGGTCCGAAAAATGACAAGGGAGAGCCATATCATGCCCCTACTGAAATTACTGATCTTTTACCCGAGAGAATTGTGGATATTGCATGTGGCCAAGAACACACGCTACTACTTGGCAACGAGGTAGGCAAAAAAAAAGGTAGTACGTATCGTTGTGGCATGACTCTTTAAACTGCTGTGGCGCAATTTCTAAAGGTGACCACAATGATTTTCCACTTCAGGGAAACGTATTTTCTATGGGTTGTGCGGAGCAAGGTCAATTGGGACGCGTGCGGAAGTCGCATTGTAATGCACAGGACAATCGACGAGGGAGAGCCGTGAGTACGATTTTGCGAAATTGGCTTTCTTTTTCAGAGGGTTTGCGTTTTCACGTCGCATAGGCTACAGAAATAAAGTAACTAATTAAATCGTGAATTGCAGACGATGTTACAACCTGGCCAAGTCATTGTAGTTAACGGAAGGAAGTCATTTAAATGTGACGGTATCTGGGCTAGCTCTTACAACTCATTTGTGCGAAGCGCTGTAGATGGCACCATCTGGGGATGTGGTCTACAGAACTACAAACAGTTAGGACAAGTAGAGCTTGCTGCAGGCGAACAGTGCGTGTTTTCTATGGTAAAACTTAAGGCTTTCGATCCCAAAATCAAGTAAGTCGATGAACTTGTGTGGATATATTTTGGCACTTTACAGTATTGTTTTTTGATAAAACTACCATACTAAAATTCTTATTTTCGTTTAGTGCTACAATAATATTAAGCCGGAACAAGTAATCTGCTTTGCTCAGTTTCGGTTAGTTTAACTTCGGTTTTCGATTTCATCTTAAATAGTTAACTTCGTAAACTCCATAAGTTAGCTTCACCATAATATTTGAATCATGTCGTTCTAAGGAGATCTCTTTTGACCACTGTTCATTTGTGCAAAACAAAGTTGTGGACTCGAATTGCTCGAATACGATATTGCTCTGCACCATTATGAGATGTTGTTGATGACTTTATAAGTTTCAATAGTTGGCAAAAAAATTATTACTGATATAAAACATTGAGTTTTAGAGCGCATGTATACTGGAAATGTTAAAAAGCAAAAAGACATTCTTTATCTTTGCTTTTTATAATAGGTGGATAGAAATTGTCGGGGGCGAGAGACACACCCTGGCGTTGGACGCGAACGGCAAAGTGTACGCTATGGGTTCCAGTCTTTATGGAAGACTAGGACTCGGAAAGGTAAGGAATGGCTGCACAAGGACGCGAGAGAACTATAATATATAATAGTATGCCGCTTTGTATTATATGCTTGTTATACTAGGAAATATTATATAAAATGATAATGACTGGCAGTTTGATTCCCAAAAGTTTGGATTGAATATGGTCATGATTCAGCCGAAGGCATGCAACATGCTACAGATTTTTATTCAATTAAGTCAGCTAACAAATTCTATCTTTTAGGGACTCATACCAGTAATATTTGCTGTCATGCACGGTATTATCAACTCAGCTTCGTTCTATCGTTGCTGCTAACACAGTGTATGTATCACTATATTACAGGTGAGCGGAAAAGAGCCACCGGATGTTGCCGTATTGACGATCGTTCCAGGCCTTGAAGGCATCGCAATGATTTCAGCCGGGGATCACACGAGCTTTGCTCTGGACAAAAAGGGGATACTCTATTCATGGGGACAGGGAAGCAACATGCTGGGACAGGTATCTAGATATGATTATGGTTACTTTATTTCATATGCGGATGTCCTTTGCTCAGCGTTTGCCTAACAGAAAATCGTTGAACATACCTTTATTACCATCAATTATTATCTGTATTCTACAATACGGTTTCTTAAGTAGGCTCTAACCTAGTATGTTGTTCTTGAACATTTCAGGGGGATCGTGATAACGCTGACGAAAAAGACATATTTGAACCGACACCCTGTAGCTCGAAAACGCTGAAGACTTCAAAAGTAGTTTTCATTTCAGCCGGTAGCATTCACAGCCTTTGCATTGTAACACCGAAGGAAGATAATGCACATAATTAAATCGTTAGCACCTGTTGTCTCACATTTGTCCAAGATCTATATCATCTACATTGGGACCCCTTTTACATTGATTCGTGCTGAAGTTAGAGAAGTAATAACTCTATATCAACTACTTGACAGGAGTTCAGTAACATCTAGTGAATTGAAGCTCTGATTGAGGCGATAAGAGTGCTGTATAAACGTTCTGAGAGGTGATACGTATTGTTGCTACTAATGACATAAGCGTCACAGGCTACTCAAGTCGAGAGTCCGAATTAGAAATAAATTTGTAACTAAACCAGTGAGAATGTACCGTACTTTTTAGTCGTTCAATCAAGGTCGAAGCGTAGGCTTTGTATTAAGAAGTAATGGGATAGGACTGGGCGCCAAGAACTCGAATTCTACTGGGAGATAAAAGACCATTTCTACGTTGCACTTACTTATGACCCACTAGACCAAAACGAGTATCTAGCCATGCCGTTAAACAAAGGTGCTAATGTGTGAATACCTCTTAAGGTTTAAGTCGACTGCCTGCTCGATGCATTATAAAGTGGATAGGCGCCTATCTAGAGAAAGTTATGGATATGTGTGTGAATATACGCGCAGTACTGAATCGACGCTCAGTGATTGGGATCGCTGAAGCGAAGCATTCTATTTACATTGTGAATAGCCACTATGTATGTATATCTACAATAATATCTAAATTTATAGCAGAGTAAATGAAGCGTTTCATTAGATTTAGATGCTCCTTATAAATACTTCTTGCCAAACTTTTACCAGTAAACATGATCTATTATGATAAACAAATGGAACCATTATCTTTGGATGTATAATAACAGTGTCCGTGAACTTTTTTCGCGGCGCAAAAATACAGATGGGTACAACTCATTTTAGAACTTATCTGCGTGTTTTGTCTTAAGCATTCAAAACAGTTCACCTTCATTGCGTATTGTGAAATTATTTTTGAAGTAAAAAGGAATGACAGGCTGTTCATTTTTGTGGAAACATTTTAGAGGCTAGTGTATCTTTTTAATTGTTTTTATCAGACTTAAATTGTGTACATTGATGAGTTCCGACAACTCTGGCTATAGTTATGCAGACTTCTGTATGAAACGTTTTACTAAACTGCGTTATCCAGGGTTTGTACTAAAAATAGGTTACGATTTATAATGAGAGATTTACTATAAGATCATTCTTTAACTTCACTTTTTCTTTTACTGATAACCCCATAGTATTATGCATGCGTTCTAAAATAAGCTTATTGATCTATGTTTTTACAAATCCTAGCGAATCGGATGTAATAAATGATACTGCTATGATAAATATATGAGCATATATACAATATATAAATACTGATAAATATATAGCATACATTGGGAAATATTTTTGGTCGTTTATTTCCGATCCTAGAGAATTTCTCGTTACTTACTCGTTGCTCTCTTGTTACTCGTAATATTACTGTCTTTTCGCGTTAATACATTCGATGGCTTGTTGAATAAGTTCTGGAATTACTTTTCGCTTGAAATTCAGATAACTAAGGAATTTGTGTGGCAGCGCAGTGGATAGTATGTTTGAAACATGAAAAAAACATGGTGGTTTAAATCCTGCCTAGACACCTCTTGTTTAGCACTAGAGGTTAGCTGCCTGGAGTAATGCCTAACGGCTCACGTACAGGAGGTGAAGTACAATAAAGTATATAGGTAGTCGAATGGTGGTCTTATATAACATGAATACAGCACATCGTCTATCGCAGCGTTGGTTAAGTTGGAATCCGCAAGACACGTCTTCGTGTTAGTGATAAAATAATTTTGCAAAGGCTTACCAAGGAACTCGTTCGGTATAGCTGCTCTTCTGCTCTAAGCACTTAGATAGCGTAGTGAGTTGGAAAGAAAATTGTCTTGTTGGTGCACAGGTACCCCCAACAGTAGATCAAGTATCTGTGATGACACATTTTTTTCGGGGCTATCTTGCATGCGCAGTCCTCTCTAGAACCATAACAATGTCACGGAAACCCCGTCTGTTGCTCTTATCAATATTTCCGTACCGCTTAAGTAAGTGTAGCTCTCAAATCGTTTTTAATACAAGGCAACCCATGTTACTCAGCGATGGAAGAATGCAACTATAAAATGATAATTTCAGTTTATTGGCACAAGTCGACATGAGGCACAGACATTGGGACGTCGCTTTTTACACGATTAACACACTTGTTTATTACTCTGACGTGAAGTTATTGCTAAGTTAGCAGTGAAAGAGAAAACGGTATTGAAGTGCTTTAGAACGTGATGCCTTAGGAACATTTTGTTGACATCTGTCCACAGTGTATTATATGCCAGAAGCCGACACATTCATGACTAGGCTGACGCATGGGTGAAATTGCATATAAAGATCAAGTGTTATATGAAACAATAAAATGAGATATATGTTATATTATCTTTAATTTAACCTCTCATGTAGTGTATGTCTTTGGCGGCGCTTAGGCCAGTAACCTTTAACATTGTATGCCGGAAGTGCTGCTGTCCAAGACACCGCACTGATAGTCATTATTACGAATAGCCAAAAAGGTATTATGATATATCTGCTTTATACCAGTATTGAGTCCCAGGATGTTTCGTCTATAAACTAACGTAGTTCGCAGTAAACTTCCGAGCGCACACTTGCATGATGAGTAGGCTTTAGCACGAACACAGTCAGCCACGCCTTCCGCAGGTTTGATGTACTGTGCTTGTTATATCGCCTAATCAAATGGTAGCTGGGAAAGGCGAGTGAATACCCGTTGCAGGTGACGCGTCCTTTTGCTGCAGCTACTTTATGTATAAGCTGTCTCACAGTTGTCTCTTTCATCTATGAATTAACGCCATAATTTGTATTGAGCCTTTAGAAAAAGGGAAACAAAAGTTTGAAACAATACAAACACGGTCACCTTTGTTCACCAAAGAACATGTCTTTGAATAGTCAGGTATTTTTAATCCAAACAATGCTTCTAGGATTTGTTTTTAGTAACCATTCGGTAAACTAGCTCTGTGAAATAATTAATCTCTATTCTTCTTTATTACCCTTAAATCGCGCATCGAAGCGCGTATTTATACATATTCCTCCAGTACTACAATTAACCCAACACAGCCAGCTTCCATTATGGCTGCATGAACTACGCTCTTTACACTATGGCATGTCTAATTAACTTTCTTAATAGCCAACGTCACATAATTGTACAACAACGGTTGGTTTGCATGGTGTTCGAAGGCAGCTCTATGGGCGAGGACTTATGGCAGAGCATCCATGAATAATACTGGTATTGATAACGATAATATAAAAACTTGCTTAACCGTTCAAGGTAAGGGAAGCTACATAAACTTGCCTAAAATAATCAGCAATCCGAATAAGCGTCAATCGAGATACGTAACCGCATTAACAACAACCATACCCAGATACCTCGATTTATCTTGTATCACCCTTCCAGTTGGCTGATAATAACTATATTTATAGGTGGTATATGTGAGCAGCTTCTTTTAGGCTAATTTTTAACCATGCTGGTCTATCACAACACGAAATGTAGGTTATCTATGTCTGAATTCGTACCAAATCAACCATTAAGTGTCACCAAGTTCAGTAGTTAAACACGGTACCATTGCACTATCACGGGGACAGAAGCAGGTGGGCAGCGGCTAATGAATCGCACCACAGGCTAGAAGATACCTAGGATTCGCGATGTTCCCAGTTCATTATAGGATGGGATCTAGATAAGGAACGCGTAATGCTGCATTTATAACTACTTTTCGGGAAAAAAAATAGTGCACTTGAGATATCGCGGCCGCCGCGCATTCTGAATCTTCTGCTGTATGCACTAGGGAAAATCTGAAAGAGAAGAGGAAGATGGATTCGGCGCGAACTCAATCAATCTCCATTGTCAACCAACCGCATGAAAATAGCTTTAACGTCGGACAGAAAAGTCATTTCCGCTTCGATGCCGAACAGAGAAAAAAAGATGCATTGTAAGATAATATATATATATATATATATATAACCTAGCCTAAAGATGAGCAGATCCCTATGAAGTACCTCAGAGAATTTTGTGGGGTTTAAAGAAATAATGCTGCTATACTAAGCTCCTAAAGTACAGCGAAACAGTCAATGCAGATGGCAACTTGACAAGATTAAGATAAAGCGACGTTATTGTCATAATATTAGATCGTGCGTGGCTTTGGCAACCTGGAATATTATGGTAAGCCATGTATTGGAAGTAACCTTGGTTAGATCAAACTTTCCCCTAACGCATTACATTTGTTTTGATGGATGCATCATTACAAGATAAGCGAGCCGAACCGAACATAAGTCCGAAGATGCGTGCATCACTGAAAGAAGCGCTTCCTTCGATAGATGTTTTTCACATTTGCTACCTGTCATATAAATATATTGTAATGACCATTCTGTTACACGTGTCTTTTAAATAAGTATAGCAAAAAATTAACGTGTACGCATCAAACTTATTTTACAAAACCGATAGTTACTCTTATGTGCTGTTCAACTAAACAATTTTTTTATTATTATTCGAATCCTATTATAATCTTTATAAGTTATTTTTGTTTGAAGCTTTTGGAATTCAGTAACTCAATGTCACCACGGCTTTAAATATTTATATTCAGGTGCTTATTTGCATTTGTTTATCGCTCTGATTATATTGTCACTATATATGAAAAATTATTTAAACCTTATTTCTTCTTTAAGTTACTTGAATAGTTTAGTTATGATTTTTTGACCTCATGTCACGGCCTCGCATGTTTCTGTAGTACCCACAATCTACCCCACAGCAGGGCAGGTACATTTTATGTTCCTAATATGAGTTAGGGCTTTGCTGTGAATATTTATTCCATTAACAACACCCTAGATTACATAGAATATAGGAATTTTAACGTCAACAAACACAAACTCTTGCCCAAGGTAATACACCAGCTGGCTTGTCGATAGACTGATATTGTGCGTGTATATCTGGACTAATTTTAGGTTGATTCATCTTGAGACAGGTCTTTATGTCATCATCCTTTAGACAGGTGGACACCATTTTACCTGGATGAAAAAAGCGATTCGAGGATGGAGGATTCTATAAGCAGTCGCTTGGTTAATTTAAAATAACCGTCGAGGCAAACGAAATGATTTTCTTCAAGACTTAACAATGGTATTATATGCGTTAACCTTTTCGTCTCTACAAACAATTTTGCAAAGCTGCCTGAGTAAATATTCTAATCTAACAATTAGCTTCCTCTAAGTAAAATGACAGATGACCGTAAGATGAACATGCAGACGATTATGGCTATTGCCAAGAAGAATCGACGAGTGGATCTGATTGCGTTGCGAATTGACAAAGCGGCTTGTTCGTTTTGAATGTTTGTTAACTTCTCGATCAGCGCTAATCCGACAGTGCGATTTTTCCTATTTGCTGTGCTCCACTGGGTAAGTCGTTGAACAAATGTTATAATTGTTTTTCGGTCCAAGTGCATTTTTTCGATAACTGGCGAGAGTGATAGTACGTCTGTAGCATGGTCCGTTTGGCCATCAATGAAGTTCGGATCCTTTAAACAGCTTTTGATATTGTCGATTAAGTAGCTTTCCAACTGAGAGACTAACGCTGGAGCTGGGATAGTTTTTCTAGCGGCACCAAGTAACTGAATTGCGCAGTTAGAGGGAATCTCGATTGTCTTGTTGGTATAGAAATACTGTAGCATCAGATCAAGTACATTGACTGACAAGTCAAGCTCGACAACAGGAAGTCCTCCAGAAATCTTTGCGCTGTGTCCAACGAGTCGTTCGATGAATTTAGGCGATGAAATTTCAAGTACAGATCCATGTGCAGCCCTCATGTTCTTGTCACGGCAACATTCGAGAACGATACAATCTCGTAAAGATCCTAGTTTATCTTTTAGGTCCCTCTCTGGGGTGTGTTTCTCCTTGGCACGGTATAAGAGCTGTTCTCCAATAGATAAATTGTTTCTCATTCTCTGACTGCTTGCCATAACACCGTGGAAATCATCTTTAATACGTCTCAGCATTCTATATTAGGTTCTTTGCAAATGGAGGATAGATTCTTAAGTCGTTTATGAAATAACCGCTACTCTTTTGGTGTGCAGGCGAACGAATAAATCTGCTTTTGGAACTTTTCCACGACCAGCAAGGAGGATCTTTCTGCAATACAACGTTTTTGGTGAAATGTGTAGTTCCCCCAATGCATAATGAACCGTCACAAAAAAAGGCTGCCTTCCGGTTGCGCTCTGGTTTGATCAAGCAAAAAATAGCGAACGAAATGATTATCTATTAACTCGTCTTACATGTGATGAAAATATCATTTAAAGAATCTCTGCAAAGGTTTAGCTATATCAAATGTGAATCTATACTTCATACTCATAGAAATCAATCGAAATTAATGGCGTTTTTCACGACAATCAAGCATTGTAAAATTATTGCTACTGTAAGTTGAAAAAGAATTATTTTTTTAATGATAACGATCTATATTAAATTGCTCTCGAAAGCAATCCACCGTACCTACGGTTATCAAACCTCCAACATAAATTATCTGTAGTTAATTCAAATAGTTTTATAGCTTAATAGTGTTTACCGAAATCATCGATCTTCGTTGCTTTACAGCAATTACAATTTTTCAGGTACAATTCGCTCAGGACCATTTGTGGGCCATAGCACTGATATAAAACAATGACATTTTATTTCCTTATAATAGCATTAAAAACGCAAAGTTCGCATGTGTTTTTGATGGTACGCAAAAGTACAAATATGACTTTATCATTAAGAAAATGTTTCAAAAAATTGGCTTTTGTTTTTTTTTTTGTACAAATGGCAACAGTTGTCATACATCGTTTCAAATTACGGTGATCATAAATAATAAATGTTTCAAGTTTGTATTCGTTAAAGCTTCACGAACGCCTAAGATTAGTAGGTAAACATTTTACCAGCGAACCATTACGGCGAGCAGTGAACTACAACGTAGCGGCCGTACCTAAGGATGAACATTGATATCATAGATCGCTTGAACGATGCACGAAGTGTGTATCACCTATGTACCTGAACTCAAAATCATCTTAAGTCTTAACGATAAACTGAAATTTCGAACATTTACAAGAGCAGAAAATATAGGTGTCCCGTGCACGGTTTTTCCTATATGCAGGTAAGTTTCCTTAAGAATTAGTTCTTCAAATCATTTGCGGTACACCGGCGTCAGAATTTTTAATTATAATTCACAAGGTGTCGTCAGGTAGACTTGATTGTAATAAAGTAACAAACTGTGCTTGGTTTTAAGCCATAGTTTGAGCAATTATGCATTTACTGTACGAACAATCATGGAATAGATTTTGAAACAAGCCTACAGTAATTACACAGGTCGAATTGCCAAATTATACGTTTTACTAAAAAATAAAAGGGAAATTGGCTTAACATAAATCTCAGCATCAAATTGTCATTTATCTTGGGCTTTCATTAATTGCCAATTGCTATGATAGGCATTATTAAGTTAAAAAGAAAACATTCTATAGTGATGAAAACGTATCAGTAAATGTTCGGTAAATATGTATACTTAATTATTTATTTAGGGGGTTCGAGTTTTCAGGGTGTGTTTGTTTTTGTTTTATTACTTGCTGCTATGATAAAATGCTACAGTAATGTACACATTATATTTCATACCAGTTAAATATTCTATCGCTGATAATACACACATTTACTAAACTTTCTGAGTCAGCATTTTAAAGAGGGGTCAACAAGTTTCGAATGACAAACTTTTCAATAACTGCGTTCTAATGAATCTGTATGGATGTAACAAGAGCAGGTGATATCTGTCAACAAACAGTTATCGTAACAAATTTATCTGGCAAATAATACGTTTTTACATTTGCCGCCTAAGTAAATACGATACGACGAGTCAACGGGCGACACGCTGAATGGGGCGAGATGTGCACGGTTCAGATAATTTGCATTCGCTTGCTACACAAAACGTGGGCACGCGGCCGAACACCGTCGTAGACATCATATAGTCGGAGAGCCCACTTCATCAACAGCCACTATTGTACGGCGTGGTACATTTCGATTCGGGCAAACTTTGACGCGCCGTTTGTGGCAGCGGTCATACGTTCATCCGCGGTTCTTTGTACCAGAAGAACACCAGTTCTTTTAGAACAAAACAACAAACTCAGGTGAAAAACAGCAATTTGAGCCTTTTTAAAAATCGAGCATGAATCAGTTATTATTTTCTGTCTCCATGTGAAACGAACCCCCACTAGGATTAAAAATTTATTTTTGGTTTAGGTCGATGATCTACCTTATTGCCAGTTTTCATGCAAATCGAAAGATCATCAAAAAGGCTTTAGATTTAAAAGGCTTGAGAATTCATTTTTCATCATGGCCAAAAAGCGATTTTCGACATACCTGGAGTCTTTTGGCCGTTATAAGTTTCCAAATTTGTGAGACCTTTGGACTGATATCAGCCCAAATTTAATTCTACGTGGGATTTTTTTATACGTAGAGTATTCGAGCGATACATTAAGAAGTTTACGCATATCAATACTGCTTGACGCACATAACTTGAACAGTTATTTACGGATTAAAGAAGGAATATTTTGAAAGCTACCTATGAGTGGTTCAGGTACCGAGTTAAAGCTGTTAGCGCGGCGAATGGTGGCTATATTAGACAACGACTACTGTCAGGAAGCACATGCAAAGCACTCCTTTCTATTTTTGTTTGGATACGGACTTGAAAGCGATTCATAAAAAAAAAGACTGGAATTTAGATGCCCGTTTTATATATAGAGAGAGTGGTTCAAAGGCTCTTGACAGTATATATATTGTATATATATATATATATATATATATAATATATATATATACATATGGTATGTATGTTTTGTACAGGTGTCAAGTGGAGACTCACAAACTTTCAAGAGACCTTTGAACCATTCTATGTATATACTTTCTTGTCATCTTATGCAACAACAGAAGGTTTTGTCCATGTCAATATCAAATGGTAGTCTAATCAACATTTAGGAAACGCTAATCTGAGCCATTTTGGCTATAGTCATTTAGATCAGTAATGTTTAACGCGCAAAGCATGTATTACTTAGGTGTTCTTTAAAACACTATGATTTCTTTGCGAATTCAGTTTTATCAAATCATATCGAAGATACGCTAAACTTTTTTTGAGTAACATTTTGCTTTATACTGATGTTCTTTGCTGATCCTCGATGATTTCCAAATGTATTCTAGATGTCTTAGAATTATCTTAAAAGAATGCGTATTGTTTCCTGTTGTAATGATATTTGTTCATCCACGCAGCCTCACTTAGCCAGCATGCTTCACGTGTTCGCGGAAGTCTGTACGCTCGTTGGTACAATGACCGGTGGTACAAGCAGCTGAAGTGTGTGGTTCACCAGCAGCAGGGTAGCCGATCGAAGAGATTGGACGCACTCACGGGTAAACATTGAGCCGCGTACAGAAGCCCCTAAAACTCGAAGATGTGTTATAGTCTCATTACGATGGAAGATAAGCGATTTGCAGATCGCTAAACAGACCGCCAGCAGCATCGTCGGCAACACCTTCAAGGACACCGTACAGACAGCATCGAAAACGCAGTGCGTCAGTCGGTTCTCTGCAGCTCAAAACTCAAAGCCTTTGATTACATAATCAGGGACTTGTTACAAAATTAGCGTCTTATAAACTAAGTAGAGCAACGCCTTTCAGCCCACCAACGGGTTCCCTTATTGTACACTAACACTATTTTATATGGAATACTACTAGAATGAAACATTTCTCACTATTAGACTTTTTCATACATTTATCACATTATGAATAATAGCTGACCCTCCAAATTGCATATATTGTACTTACAGTAGTGATTACATAGCCGAGCAGGACAAGGATTGAGGCAAACACGACGAAAGCCATTAACCACAGGGAATCTCTACCCCAAGGATAGCGAAGCAATCCCTCGGCAAAAGGTTCCAGAAGGGAACGATACAATGACAGGACTACGTTCCCTATTAAAAATAACCTACAAAAAAGTGTATTTTTTCCATTATTATTAATATTATTATCATCATTTCTTCTCTTATAATGTATAATGGACATGAGTGTATGTGCCAAGCATATGTCTAAGAAACGACGACATCGATAGGTAAATCTTTTCTTTTAGTAGTTATTTCAAAACGAAATAATGGATTGACGACATTTGAACCTCTGCCGATATAATGAGAACTCACGATTAGTACGCATGTTGGTTACGAACGGGTGAGTCGAAAGGCATGAGAAGCACTCAAACACTGAGTATTTTTATTCAAAGCAACAGCTATATATATATATATGTAGTACCTCTGCTCGTCAGGCTGTTGCTGAATGGATGGGCATGACGACGTTGACGAGAACCTATTCAACAATTCGTAAGGACAACAGCAGGCCGAAGAGGGCGGGTTCACGACACCCGAACTCGCGGAACTTGCCGACCGCCTGAGAGACAAATCAAACAGTTCTTCATTGGCGAAAACGAGGAGAGAGGCTCGGTGCTTCAAAACGTATTGTTTACTCATCGCCATTAGTATAAATGTACGGTTTTCTCATATCGAAAGAACCGTTTATTAATAACCTCTGACGCCGTATATTTCCTTAACCGACGGCACAATCTATTTTATTTTCGGCGAATATGTATTACATTTATAGTACGCTAACCTTGCTATAACCAAAGCTGTTAAAAGAAGTCATTTCTCGTTATTAAAAGGTTACTGATTTTCTCTTCCTTAATGAGCAAGGAACATTATTAGGAAACCCTATTTCGTCCTAAAAATGATCATTGAAAAGCAAATCTCGATGATCGAATGTCGAAGCGCTGCAACAGCGAAAGTTACAATTTAGCGTATTCTACTATCTGATACCTTCGATTAAGCTTTAGCTCTCTTCTGAAGTGTATGCTTATCGGGTAAATGCATATTGTGATAAAACAAAGAAGCCATTATGACAATAATCGTCACCACACTTTCATTATGATAGAATGATTCACTGAGTAACTGAGCCGATAAGCGGACACAGCGTTGCTGATATGAACTCACTTTGGGAAAAGTGGCGCGTCATTGAAAAGGGTGAAATCGCTATGTTGAATGGCGTCTGGTGAAACTATACCAGTCGTTCCTGCAGGTAACACTAAAGATGTGAGTGGCCAATCAGAACTACGTAGTGATAATGGTTCCAAGCGAGCCGGTAGCGTTCTGCTTTGAGGGGTACGTCCGAATTCGTCATGCGCCTAGTATTTGTAGTATTATAATTGTAACCGAAGGAAGGGGACAAAGAGATTAATTATTTTTAATCGAATTACTACAAGAAGTCATGTGACAAAGTGATTTCTAATCATAATTTGAACAATATTGATTAGTCTAAAACGAACTAGTGCTAGCAGAGTTACCTAAGTGCGCCTAGGTCAACAGCAGTCGAAAATGCTAAATTCATATGAAAAAGACGATGACAAACCCAGCGGTACCGAAGGCACGTTGCGTAATAGCGAACGGAATACATGTACTTATCTAACTCCTTCTCATTCTGGTCTCACCTGTTGCCAGTGTGCTATAGCTGATGGATTATTAGATGATGCTGGGCATTGTCGCTGTCGAAAAAAATTGTCCCATTGGAAAGCATTTGGAGAAGGTCCATTTGAAACCCAGTCGGGTCTTGAACCTAAGAGACAGCGATAAACAGAAAATCTACTATCCGATGATGTCCTTTCAGATGTCTTGCGATTAATCATTGTTGTCTCAAAGCAGACTCATGGTAAGTTACAACAATATGAATAATCGTAGCGCATCAGACACTGGGTAAATTGTGTGAAGTTAAGTGTATCCCGGAAGCTCAATACGGGCTTATTTATTAACTGCTATAATTCTTAATGGTGAGTCAATGGTCAAACTGGAGTATTTGTGTTTGTTTAGGGGCATGCATTACACGCGATTTGCTCCAAAAAGGGTTATTTGTAGATTAAGCAAACATTAGTGCCCAGCTGCGTCTATAGAAATTATTACCGTTCTCGGAAGCTGACTTTTGGATTTGCTGCTGCTGTTGGGGCGTATTAGATGAGGCAGGGGTAGATGTACTAGACAGTGACGGGCCGGAATACAGATGACTTGTCCCGTTAGTGGACAATCCAACTCGACTTTCGCCACCATTGCCACTCAGCGAAGAGAGATTTGCTAAGGAGCAAAGAGTAGACGGACTAAAACAATCAAATTTTAATTTTTTATTACTCTTTTTTTCATGTACGGTGTAATAAACTGCGACTAATTATTTAGAAAATGAAACAGGTCCCGATAGATTTGCTTCAATGTATACCAAGCTCTGTTATTTTGTGTATTTGTAAAACTGTGTATTTGTCACTGATCATAAACCTAAATCTGCTGTCTCGAATATCGAAAATCAACTCCTAATCACACAATTTTTGTCGCTACTATTTTTACGCAATTCTACAAGGCGGATCGCGTAAATTTAAAGTACACAATGGACGCGATCGTCGCGTCTTGGATTGGGACGGCCTAATATGTTAACGGCAATAGATTAATGTGGGTCCGGATTCTTATTGGCTATCTAAGAAGCTGATTCAAAGGCCGAGTATCATGTGTCTGAGATTAATGACGCACAAGAATCTAGTAAATCGATGCCCATTAATCAGAAAATAATGATTTTTTTATATCAGGTTTTTGTGTTTATAGTATGACACAGCTATGGAGAAATATTGTTCAACAATAATCCTGTGTAAAAGTAAAACCGAGAGAACCTTTTTACAGTATAAAACAAAGAGAGGAAAGGGGCATATGTGTGCGACTGTTTGTCTGACTTGAACGCGCCATACAATGAAGTTTGCCTTCCTCCATTCGATCAAAAGGCCTTGGGTTTATCATGAGCTGCATCATAAAGGTCAAGTCATCGAGCAAGTAGCATTACTAGAACATATATACATATTAAAACAATGAGGAACGTTATACTTTTTCGGATAGTATTTCTCTGATTTTTTACGAATGCTCGACGAGCTGATTTGCTACTGCCCCCTCGAGAAACATGGTAATACTTTTGGGTTGCATATCATAATAACTCATGATAGAAAATACCTTAAAGCATATCCGAAACTTCGTTTTACTTCACACAATCGGATAAGTACGCTCATTATCAAATTAGAACATTAATCTGTATATGGTAGGTTTTTGCAGCCATCTTGCCCGTATGTCACACGTTGGATTTGAAGAAACATTGATCAATTACACAGCAACATCTGCAAATATCTGGCATCAGAATTCTCCTTCTACATAGTTGAATAGCGCCAGTATACGACCTGGCAACAGCGGATGGCGTTATATTAGAACTGTTTGCGTGTCCGTAAATGTATACTGAGCATACGCATTGCTTATGAATGGTGATGACCATGTGTCTCTTTCAAAGCCAGTCAGTTACATGAGATAAACGTACGTGGCGTCGCAGGTGTAACTTAGCACCAAACGCGCAAGAGAAACTGTTTATATATTCAGTCGACATTTCGGTGCGGTAAAATAATCATAGTTCTGAATAACAGTTATCTCTTATGTGGTCCGACAAGTGCGAATATCCTCTACAATGTTCAAAACAATGAGTTGGCTTTCGAACTGAGATGGGAATGAGAAAAACTATAAACGCGAAGTGGCAAAAGACAGTACCGTATATACCGAAACATCATCGCATTATACATTATCTAAGTCGGGTGTATCACAGAGGTTCTAGTAGCTGATTAAGATTTTAAGTCGCTACTGACTCGTTTTTGCGAAACAGCCATTTATTTCATTCGGTGGATTCTCGGTCTGCTAGGCCATTTTGCACTACTGCCATGCGTGTGGTACGAGCAGGACGAGCGTCAGCGCATTTTTGACATGAGTTTGACGAGACCAGGCCAGTCATTTCGCAGGTGATGCGTACAGCTACGAAAATTCTTCAAAGTCTATTATAACTTTGATGGGTTTCGGTAGGCAGAGCTCTTTTGCGGTGAGGAGCACTTACACTAAAGCGTGCGGTTTCGACACTGTCATACCAGAAAAGGTAACTGAGCGTTGTTTCGTAAACCTATCTTCGTGTTATTCCAGTTCCTAGAGACGAAATGACTCTGCGGAAGTAATAGAATCCAAACATCTTGTGATTTGGGCATCACGGGAACTAACCACATACATAATCGAATTGAACACATAAAGCCCGCTTGGCTTTATGGTCCCGCTTTTTAACTGTATTATTATTCGATTTATATAACTTACTCAGAACGTGCCCGTGAACTGCGTCGTACCCTTTGCAGCAGCTGATAATCCTGGAGATTTTGGCCGGCTTGAGCTGGTGATGTATGTTGTGGGCATATGTTGAAAGAATTCGGTCCGGAATTATTGCCTCCGCCGAAAATTGTCCCGGAGGAACAAGAGGTAGCACTGAGGGCTGCGCTGTACGGACATGAAAACGTGTAGTCTGTTGAGCGCGTCTGTGTCCTAAAGGCAGGAAAAATACGCGGACGTGAATTAGAATAGCATTTAACATATATATATATATATATATATATTGTGATTCATAGTAGAACCAACATTTACCCCTTATCCTTGCAATCGCTGCTTAGAGAGGCAATCGTTCCTTTCCGTCGGCTTGGGTGAAACGGAGCTAGAAAAACGTCTTTCGATTCATGAACGAGGTTTTTCAGAAATCCAGAGGACCGCCTGGATTATCGCATAACGCATATGAAATACGAGTTCTTTTTAATTACCATAGAATAACAGTCTGCCCATAGCGTAGGTATCTTCGTATTTGATTCAAACTAGATCACTATTGTGCGTTTCTGTTCTTACTTCACGTCACTACGAACATTTGATGAATATCGCTACCCATCGTAGTACGAAAAGATGGCTAAATATTTCCGTACTAATATTGCACATGAACAGATATGGTTGGTGGTGATGATGAAGCGTATGACAACGCTACACTTCCAACATACCTCTTTGATTGAGGACGTTCAACGGGAGTGACCGATGCAGACCGACTGCTCTTCCTTTTGCCATCGACGCCATTCAAAGGTTGACTACTGCCACCACTATTATTATGATCGTGATAGTCATTCGATGTCGCATCAAACCGAGCCGATGACAGTATCATCTTGAGCCGAACTCTGAAGCCTTGCTTTTTAATCGAATATAGTTCGGGTAAATTGGGTAATCGTTGATGTTCAACCGCCGAAGTCCGATGCGTTTCACGTTTGGCCCTTATTACCACCTGGTCCTTACTGGGGGCATATTATTGACGAAGGTAACACACGTAGCGGTATGTCAGCTGTGCAATGCTACTGGCCAATCTCGGCTGACGATGATACTACCGTTGATGATCCTGAAATAAGGTTTGGCCTTCATTAGATTAGGAAGTGAAGCTGAAACCCATGTAGAACGTAAGTTGCACTCAGCGTGTAAAAAAATTACTTTTCAGTTGTATATTTGTTTCGTAAAACCACAAGGTGAATAAATCCTCAACGATTATCGAGTTTTCGGCCATTTTTATTTAGTCATTACAAAACCGCCGCTCAAATAACCTGATACGGCAACCGACTCCATCTGAAAACCCAATATGATGCTGCAAAGACCGCTGTATTTTTAATGTCTTTGCCCCCAAATGTCAAGCACTATAATACTACTTATAATATTATCTAGAATTTTAGAAAACTCACGGACTATAAAACCCAAAAATTCATAGTGCGTTCCAAAACTAGCAAATATATCTTCAAACACATACGCACGCCTATTTGTATCCGACGGGCAGCAGCTCTGTTTATGGTAAAAATCACTACCGCATTATTATTTTTTTTATGATTATTATTCCATTCATAGTATATTCTAAGATAAATGTTGTGTTGATTGTTTAGTTTGAACGCTTTTGATCGTGTCGCGCATCTTTGTATCCACACCGGTTCCATCGCGCCTCACTGAGATAATTTAATAAATAAAATATAATTAAACAATTACTAATAATTTGAATGCTAATATGCCTCTTTTTTTTAAAGATATTTCACCCTTCTTTTTCGTGCGAAAGGGGGAAGGCTTGCACGAACTCAGCAGGTTGCTTATATAAGCAATGCGTCCCATGCGCATATAATCGAAGACCTTTATGCATTTCGATGACTCCGCTTAGGTAATCGTGTTTGTATCCCATGAAAAGTAGTTACCTCAGCTGCTAAGTTGGTGCCGTTCCGGTTCTACCGATAATAGCAATATATCTTTTCTGATGTGTCCGTAGAAAGCCATTCAATAAAGGCCGGCAGCTCAAAAAACTATAGATAGAAATTATTGTTAGAACAGTATAGTGCAAGTAAGTAACTGTGTAACTGAAGTAACGATGATTACTCTTAATGGAAGCTCCAAGTAACTGCCATAGAGACGGAAAAGGGACGACAATAACTCACATCTGTCGCATCTACTTGCTGAAAGCCATTCAATAGAATCAAAAATTACTTCGCGTATTGTCACAAGTCGACTAATAGCGACAACTTAATAGTCCTGTTTTTCCTAGCATCTTCGTCGTCCTTAGCGCCACTGCCGCAACGATCCCATTGAAATAAAAAATAAAAACAGCTAGTTCACTGACTGCTCTTTATATCAAGGCCTCCATTACTTATGGCTGAATATAATTGTATTATCTTGGGAGTTCGTACAGAGAAATTTATTGTTTGAGTTACAAATTGGTGCTGCCGTGGTTCCCCGCTGCACGGCTAAAATAAATGGTGTGGATCAGCCGTAAATGAATTACTGATAAATATTCTCTATGAAAAATTTTAATAATAGGTTAATAATTTACCAGAAGTTTTCACTAATCAGGCCTAATATTGATCGGAATTTGCTTGTATAAATTTGTAAAATTTTTGTACTTCACAATATTTTTTTTAGAACAAAGAAGTGACTGAGAACAAACCAAAGACCATATCATTTATGTTAAAAAAACAAAAACAGTTATAGCAGGCCATTAAGATGGACAAATAGTATACACACGTCTTTTTATTGAATTCTGTTAAAGATCACTTTTTTACTTTTAAAGGATTAACAGATATTTGTCGATCATAAACTCATGTTAAAAGATGTGACGAATCCACCATTTTCGAGCTCAAATACGATTAAGAAGAGTGTACTATGATGTGATTAGCGTATGGTAAAATGACTGATCTGATATACTCCCTGTGGCTACAGTTGCGCTAGTGCTTAACAATGGTACTTAGAGCGAGGAGAGTAGTATACTTACACAATTGGACAGTTGCTCTTAGAATTATGTGTTGGCTTTAAAGGTAGTTAACAGATGTGTCCTCGTAACTGCGTTTTGGCAGATAAATGCTCCAGTCGAGTTCAGATGGTGGATATATGTGTATCCGCACTCACGAATGTCTGAAATCGGTCAGAAATGGAAGACTGTTTTATCTACGGCGGGTTCGTAAAATTCGGGCAATGTAGCCAGTTACAATTGAACTTGTTACACCCTGACTCGTAACGGTCTTGCTATTAGGTCTCTATTGTATAGCATCTACCTTAGCCGATAATTGTATTTGGTTAAATAAGATTGAACTAGTTAATAATAATAATATTTGACGCTTGTCACAGTTATCTAGAATTATGCAGATTTAAATAAAAGTGTACAATGTTTTTGTACTATTGCTTCTACATATACCTAGAGCAGAGCCTTTATTTTATTTAATTATCGAGGTTGAAAAGCTTCGACTTTATATTAACGCTTTTTCGCGATCGTCGACTAAGTTGACTATTTGCGGTACAGTTATGTATCGTATTATACTAATAAATAGTATACATAATCATTATCCCGATAAAACAATTTTGTCCTTGAGAAAAAATTTTTTAGATGGTTGAGTAAACACAAACTTGTGATGTGATAATATATAAAATAAGATTCGTTCAGTCGTTGGGTGAAATACTTCTAGCTAATTTACATCTATAATAGGTGCCAGTTCTAAGACAAATCGTCGTAGTGGTTAGCATAATACATATTTCCGTGATATAAGGTTAAAACAATAATATAATGAACGTCTTTCTCAGCCGACTATCAAATTATCCCGCCATTGCACCTTGAATTAAAATTAACAACAATTATGCGGTGTCAACGGGATTATGTATCCATAATAAAATATAAGCAAGCAAACAGATTCATATTCTTCAACCCATATACTTCTAGTTTACTAGTCTGCTCGGTACTCAGCAAGCTCAGCTTAAGACCGGGGATTTAAAGCGCTAAGTTGAACATATAATATAAATGTCTATTTACAGCAAACCTTGAAATAGCTGCACAGATTTTAACCAAGCATTTGATTGACTGAAGTCTGCCACCAAGGAAGATTGCACAACTATGTATAACAAATATAATTAAGCAGAAGCGAAGTTATGAAGAATGCGGCGTTACAACAACGATCTTGTTCGGCTTTGCCTATATCGTCTGTGTTTACCTGAGTATTTCAAGTATCGCACGAGCAGACACCGTTTGTTCCTTAGAATATATTCTATTTCAATGGTTTTACAGTTGGTATGGGCTAGTAAGTCAAATGGTGTTGCAAAATGGCGCGGGCGAGGTCGGGGGGAGGGGGGAGGGTAGATAAAATGGCGGGTAAAAGATGGTAGATAAACTTTAGCCCGTCCTACTTTGCTTTTCTACCCATAGTTTCTGACCCGGTGAATTGGAGATGAGATCTTTTATCTGTTTTTCTTTCATTTACAAAATGTGTACACTATCTAACGCCGGTGTAACTTGCTTGTATATAAACACTCCCATAGGGTTAAATCAACTTCATTATCCTAAAAGCTGGTCGCCAGTTACCTACCGCAGTAGCAGTTATTTCTTAGCCTTTCTACTATCCCTACAACATGTGCAGTTCTTTTATTTTTGTTGTTGTTGCCGCTGCTGCTGCTGCCAATGGCTGCAGCTGTGTTTTTCTTTATTTCTTTCTCTGCTTAGCTAGCATGTGCGATGACAATAACAACACTTCAGTTTTATCTATCTTAATCTTGTACCACTTTTTATTTTCTGTTTATATGGATACCTTCCGCTGAGTAGATCTGAGCTGCAGACACACAGGTGGGGGACCATCGCATCCTGCTGTTAACAGACTAGCGTTAGCAGCCAGTACAAGCGCCGAGAAGCTCGAAGTCTCAGGCACATGACGGAACGAGGCAGGGCAAGGCAGAACTGGAGTTAACACAGGAAACTCGTTACGACAAAACGCTGATGAGTCACCCAGCAGCAGTCGTCCGTTAGCTTTTCAGCCACCAGCACAGACCACGCACATTAGCTGTCTACGTGCCATTTATTCAAATGAATCAAGTAATCAAAATAAGTTTCCTGCGAAAGCCTCTGAGGCTACATACCTGTATGAAATTTCTTCTAAACGACTGCCGGTGTTCCACTGAACACACTTTTGCAGCTCTCATTTAATAGAAATATTAATAGTGCTAAGTGAGGCGAAACGACGCATCTCTTTCATTGACGAGTTCCTTTGCCTTAGTTTTCATAACGTAAGATTTCTAAAACAATTGACGGTAAAATTTTTTGTTCGACAATCTCATCATATTGACATACGAAATTAGACTAAAATAGTCAGTTATATAAACAGTGTCTCCAAACGTGCGCAATTTTGAGAAAAACAGTAATAGATATCTCAGGACATCCCACTAACTGGAAATATTAGTTCATTAAAAAGTGTCTTTATAGCAGACAAAGCGTTGCTAAACTTTTGCGATCGTACCAGCTGCATTTTTTGACAGAATTTTTTACGTTTAGACATCTCAATAAAACGATAGCGTTACTAGAAAAAGAACGCGGTAGTAAACAATTTTTGCCGGCCTGCCATCTGCTGACAGTAATTAAGCCACGGATTAGGGCGTTCAACGTAGTGTGCAATTTGTATCGCAAATCCATTGCGATAAATTCCAAAAAAGACGCATTCTTTCTCTTACTTACTGCTAAGCTTTATGCAGATAGGATCAGTCTATTGTCTCCGTAATGGTAACTTGTTTGCCCACTAAACATAGGAGCATGTGGTAATTCAAAAGCGAGTGTCCACACACTCCGTTTGGTGTTGAGAGCCAATTGTCTAAGGCAAGGCTTAACGACCTAAGTGTCAGATGTATAATCCGGAGAATTTTGGATAAACCTGTCGATATGATCAGAGCCATACTATTGTCTAGCTGATAGAACTAAACTTGAACTTTGCTTGTGATCTATTAGCGGCAAAAGGTGATATCTATCAATAACGTATAGAAGTCGCACGACTAAGAGGAATTGTAAGTTGAACAAAAAAGCCGAAACAACGCTGATGGCTGCCCATGTGATTAAAAAGTAATCCAGAAGACCCATTGTTACTATATTCTATCATCGAGCCTGCCTTGGGTCACGCGATGAAGTTACCTGATCATTTCAGATTTTTATTTTTTCATTAGGTCTACAGCTTCTCAAACGAATGCGGTAAGAGGAACCATCATTTAAAAATCGGCAGAAGAGAAATATATATAATAACATGTATTCGTATAGCATATTATAGCCGAAATATGTATCAACATTTACGGGGTGATTATGCTAGCCAGCTATATAGCATAGTATTTAAACATTGTTGATGGTCGGAGAATCATGTACACGTTCATCCCGAACCTGTATTTAATTTCGCCCTTAATAATATAATAATAGACGTCAGCTATGCATACCTTTTGGGCACAATCTGAACGTCCTTAGGACACAGGTATTTATTTATAGGTGGCCCTTAGCTTTTACGCACGTCAGCAATAAGATATCTGGAATAATGTTCGCAATATTGAAGGATATGATGCCAAGTTATTTTTTCTCAATTATTTTACTTGGTTTCTAGCAGTGCGTCGTTTCTATCACAGTGAGTGAAAGAACGTTGAGTTTTGGCCTTTGAATGAGTAACCGCGAATCCTTTTAACACCATTCCGTGATGAAAGACACCCAGCTAATTTTCTATTACCAAACTCCGCAGCAACAACACTAATCATTGTTAGTCATCGCTTCGCTGTCTATCTGTTGTTCCAAATTTTATTTGTTCTTCTTGCCCCTCTGGGTGTGTCCGCAGACTTTGGCATTTTTTCAAGTTATAACAACGATTACTCGACGTCCGTCGTTCGGCCACGCCATCCGTAAGTGAACATCCATTTAAAAATGTCTTTTTTCTTTGCTTCACGATGGTAACTAGAGCTTTTCGCTATTGCTTCAAACGGCTAGCTACCAAAATGCGAAATGCGCCTACGTCCGTATTCGAACCTTGACCACCACAGCGTCGCTAAGCGGAGGGCAGACGGTCGGGAAGGACACAATGGCGACCCTTTTTGATTGAGTACCGGAGGCGTCTTTTGCAGAAGTGGTGAGTTAAGGAAAACATATACTGGCAGAAGGCACAGCGCCAATAGGACGGACGTACGCCTCGTATGTGAGTTACTCGAGTAAATGCGATTTTCGCGCTAACAAGGAACGACTGACCCGGCGTGTAATGCATAGTCACTCCCTAAGTTTGTCGTTTTTTACCGTTAATCAACATACCATCAAAACATCTGATACCACACAATCCGTGCAGACACGCCTATCGACTAATATCGTAAGCTGTTAGTTTGTAATTAGTTCTAGGAAGCAATTCTGTTTCAATAAAAAACAGAATTCTTTACCAGAAAAACTGTACCTGAACCAAGCGTGTCATTCGCGGTCTGTTACGATAAGCCGGCTGGGAAAAAGATTAAAAACCATTATCCTCGCCCTGACCCAAAGTAATTTTAATCCCTTTATGGTATTACACAAAAATCAATAGAAGTCTTCTTTGGTTATCAAGTGCCATTTTTTTGGTAAAGGCATAGGTGTATCTAATATCTCATTAAAGACGAAGTGCATGAAGTTCAATGCATACCGTGCCACGGGTATAGAATGCCATTCTGCGACGTTATGCACACAGGTCTTTACCCCAAAAATAATGTAATATAATATTTTACATGACTTATGTATATATTTATTCAAAGGAAACGCAATAAGAGCAACGCTTGACATAAGTCATCGTACTAAGTGGGAGCAGCAGCAGCAGCAGTAACGGCAGGTCTTGGCGGCGACAACTAGGCAAATAACAATAACTAACAGTGATGGCGGCTGATTGCAGTGCTAGTCACATATGAAGATGCTGTGAAAATCTTTTGTTTTAGCTATCGCCAAGGTCAAAACAACTGAACAGAGCCATAACAAATCCAACTTTGCTGAAATGATCTATAAATTCTAAGCATCGGAACGGAAAGCGGGCCCTGTGGCACTAACGGTGGATGCGCAATGTAATGTTCCCAAACGGATGAAGCTTTAAAATTAAGGAGATCTGAATCAGTGCGTATGTGTTTCCTTATTTCCTTATTAAGCACGATCACTTCTTAGCTATTTTTCATAAAATCTCTCTAGTATCTAATTGCGAACACGCGTCAGAATGAACTTGGCTTTTACTAGAGTGAGAAATCTATGTTTAATGTATAGATCACCGCCGCTAGAGGCTTTACTGGTGTTGTCCCTTCAATGCAGCCATTTTGCAAGCTTCGACAGCGCGCGAGCTCCGAGATGAACAAAGTGAAGGCCGATAAGCCGGTTATAACTCAACGATTATTAGAACGTTGCTTGCACAGAATAGCTACATCATGCTAAATATTTCACTATGGGCTTAAGCCTGAAACGGTTTACATATCTAGCTCAGTCGGGAACTTCCGTGTTCTGGCTTTTAACTCGATAATAATCCTGCTGGCCTATTAACGAATCAATTATTAACGTGCCTGTCTCTAAATCCTTGAGTCAATTTCCGTTGCCAAGCTTAGTCGTTGTCTAATGTTTCCTCTGAGGCGACGACGAATAATATACTGACTACATTTACCATTGGTCATACGTATGACTTCAATTCAGAACAATAGACTTCAAATCCGATAAAAGAAATTGTTCGAAATCAGCCAGCTCTCTATGTGTGTGTGTGTATAGGGTAGCTGTGGAGCTACGTCTGTTCTATCAAAACGCTTGAAACATCTAGATTTATTTTAAGCTAACCGTTGTAATAAACGCGAATCTGACCTCGCCATATTCAGGCCTTCTCTGCGCCCAGGCAGGATACATTCTAGGCGGGCAGGCAGTAAGATGGCCGACAGCCAAACAGCCTCGATATCGAACGAAACGTATCGTTGTGACCTTAAAATGGGGACTTCAAGAAAGGTGGAGTGCTCACACTATGAAAATTGTCACTAAATCACACAATCATACTATACCACATTGCTTATTTTTCCTTTGCCACATCGCGCATCATACATGACGAAATGATTTAATAACGCTCAACGCTGCCATCTGCTCAATGTGACAGATGTTCCGAAAACACACATCTACACCATAATGATGTTAGCAATATAAGCTACACGCGTTAACGCTAAGTTCTGTTAGGCAGGTGCCCTTTGCCTAACTTCCTAGTTTGGACCAATCAACACTGATTCCTAAGAAGCTGTTTACGACAGGAGTAGAATAGGCGCATTTGTCTGACACGGCATACTTTAGAACTGATGTTCAATTTTTACTTGAGTTCCGCCTTATGAATTGATTTTTGTTAGCTTGAGTAAAATGTCTAGCGATATTTAACCGACATTTTAATATTTTTTTAATATATTGTCGGTGAATTTTAAAACAGCATACACAAGGAGCTCGTGGTAATTCATGCCAGAGACACTATATATTCATACTTTTATTCTTTCAGTAAATTTCTAATGAACAATCGTTGTATGGCGCAATTTTTGCGGAAACCCATTGACAATGTTTGCAGTTGGTGGCTTCTGACCAGTTGGCTACTTGCCAAGTCTATTCTACAGAATTAGTAATTTACAATGTATTCATTACTATTCCTCGATCTGTGTCGCCCACAACCATACTTAGTGGCGCCAATTCTGAAACAGGAATGTCATATATAACTGAAGATTGTGTTGGGTGGGCCGTCGTCTGGACTGAACTGCCAGCTGAGGTTCAGTAATAGTTTCTTAGGAAAATAATCATCGTGCTCATAGTCTGAGCTTTCACATTTACGTCTTAGCCTCATAAGGAGAACACACTCATTATGGGATACGGTTTGGGATACGGGAACCGTATGGGATACGGTTTTTAATTTAACATATTTAGCTTTTTATTTGTTGATTAAAACAAACTCCTCGGCGCAGTGTGTCGAGACTAAGTTCATAAATATCAATGTGACTAAATGCATAGTAAAAGCATGTATCATCGGCCAATAGATTTCTGGCTAGTTGTCTGAGCATTGCTTACGTTGATGATTCAAATAATAATAAATGATAAGTTTTAATTATCATCTGCCACATCTTTATAGGTGTGCACATTGACCCATCTCTAGCAGTACTATTTTTAAAAGTGGGTTTCTTTTCTGTCTCTTGAGAAAGAATTGGTCGATTTCTGTTGAGGTGCTTTTAACCCATTACTAAAGTCCACCCACAGGCTGCGAGCCTGTGACATAAAGCAACCGAGAGAAATCTAAAGTGATAATCGTAATTCTATGATAGTAACGCTTCTACTCGATCCGCACATCACGGGATATCGATGAACAACAACTGCTGAGCCAAAATACTCTTTAGAAACAACAGCACCGCCAACAACCGTCACAAAACGAACGTCCATCTCGATATCTTATTAGAGTGCTCAATGTACATGTACCGACAACGCGGGAAATGCGAATAATGTACAGATAAATTAATGGCATCAAAATTGAGCATGCACACTAACGCCAAGCATCGCAACTTACCTATAGGCATCGTTTTTTAGAAGCTTTTTGCGGGTAAAGTTTATGGCGCGGCGCTCTTTTACAAATATATTCAGTACAGCAGTGACTATGTTTAAGGAGAAGTATTCTTGACTGGTACTTACATATCATCAACCAAGGGACATATCAAGTCAACTTTTTGTTCTGACATCCCTGCATAACCCTTTGCAGCTGTGTGTTCTTTTTTACTCATTCGTTGGCCTTTTTTCTGGGTCTTCGTTATATTTGATCGTCATTCACGCTTACTAATTCTACATTACAGGTCTTATATTTCTTTAACGGCTGACCCTACTAGGATGAAGGACTTGTAAATAGTTTAAAAACAATGTTTTTAATAATTCACTTCATCAATCAGCTGTGCACATATAAACGGCCTGGCCTATCAATAACTGATTATAAACGCTATAAGCTAAACGAAATGGTGGTAGGAAACTGCCGAACTCCTTCGGCTTTAACACGGTCAGGCCACAGCCGGGTCACCAGTCGAATCGCTACTACCATCATTCATATATGCGTACACAGACACACACATGGAGACGCAACAACCCAGCAAATCGACGGGCGGATTTAAGTGCAGGCACGCGCGCAGTCGTATAGTTAAAATGGCCGACAGACACACGACAATAGAGGGCTGACGATAATGGTGATAATGATATTCGGTTCAAAGATACAGAAAGAGACGGGGGGACACGCACATAAATAGGAGAACTCCTAGACCGCGTGGCGACGGTGACGCAAGCTGCCAGATTTCTAAACGTGCTAACAACAGACTAAAGCTACTGCTACCATGATAACTTGGGGAGTTTACGTGCGGTTAACTATTGTGGATTTTCCATTGGGGGCCGACGTGATTGCTCACGATGATGTTGCCCTTTCGGCGGTTCGCTGATTTACCAACGATCGGTCGTTGTAAATCTGAGAAACCTGTAGCCGAATGTTGCTCGTATGCCGGCCGGCCACAGTTGGCGTCCCGCGCACAACCCAGTCAATAAAACATGGCCTCTTTTTTTCTCCCTCCACGATTACATCAGATTGACTCATAGATCCTCCAGTGCTACTCGTAGCCACACTTTCTCACCGCAAACTCAGATATGTTCAGCTGCGAGTAACTGTTACTGCTTATTTGGTCGTCATCGACCTGCACATGCAGCTTTGCTCCGAATCTGCGAGACCGATGAACGTTCGATAAGCCACGGGTTGTTAGGAACTTCGATTGCTTTGTTTATTTCTGTCATTATTGAAGTGCGCCTCATACGTCAGCAGAAAATATCGAACAGCTGAGCCTGCCGACTAACGGCTGCCTCCAACATCAAAACAACGCGCACACGAATGGTGTCAGCTTGTCCTGTCCGCATCTCCTCACAGTCTTACTTGGTGAAACTGTCTCAAATTTCGTTACTGCTGCTGGTGCCAAGGGCAGCGCGGGACCACAAAGGGCCACAAACAGAATGATTGAAGGGGCAGATGAAAGGGCAACAGAATGATTAAGGCCAAATAAATCGTATGCTTTAATATGAATAAAAGATCTAAAGGAAGCGAGGCAAATAGCCCACTGAAGCGATGTGCTGCTAGATATTCTTGGCACAAGAATGTTAAATAAATCTCAGGTCTGTCGCCGTCGCTGTCAAATTAAGTAGTCCGACCTCCGTCCGTTCTGTCGTGTTGCGCATTCTGTTTACTCGTAGAACATTCGCAACAAAAAGATGAAGAAAATGGGGATAAGGTCACATGGAAAAGGATAACGCTTGAATGTACTAAACAAAGAACATAGAAAAACGATTATCAAGCGTGTGAGCTCCCGTTCGTAAGAGGGGGTCATGTCTGAGCAAACACAAAGAATAGCAATGACATCCGCCCTCTATTGACACTTGTATACATTTCAGTACAAACAGTCACAGCAAATGAATATGCCTCACTGTTGTACGACTATGTATAAGTCGTTCTAATATATCTAGAGCAATTGTCTATATGCGAGACTTAAATGACATGGTTGCCCTGATCTTTCTGTTTTCGAATAAAAATTTCGATACAGGCTATACAAAATACGAAAAACATTTGTACATAGTGCTGGATTCGTAAGCTTAACGTATCGTATTAACTAAGTCCTTACCTTTCGGCTGCTGTGGATGCGATTTTTGAAATAAGACAGTGCACGTGGTGCTTAACCTTACTATTCGACCTTGGGGATAAAACGACGGTTCGGTATCAGACATAAGGGAATTTATATACTCTCTATATGCATGATGTTGTTGGGAATATATTGGACTAAGGCATCAAGTTCTCCGTTGGTTAAACTGCGTGTCGTTACCTCTAAAGAAGTTTTGATGACCCGATTGGAACAACGCACTGCTGAAACCAAGCAATATGGCTGGCACATCTATAAAATTTCAAAATAAAACGATCATAATTAGTCATGGATAGTTGTTTACATTAGAGCCACGGTAACCATGCGAATTAAGCACACTTCATTGACATAAGATAACACTTTTTATCAAAACTTTACGCAGATCTAGAAAATAAGCGAATAATAGTCTTTGATCTAGCCAGCTTGAGTGAAAATGCCTATAAAGCATCCTCTTCCTCAACAACAGTTACGAACCTTCTTCTTTTAAAGATAACGAGTATTTTCACTTTCGATTTGCTGTCTCGATTCCTTTGCACAAGATCACCGTAAGCTCGTATCCCCCCCGCCCGCCCCCGCCACACACACCTGGTCGTAACATTTGCCTTTTTAGGCCATAGTATAGCACAGTAAGCGTCCTAAACAGATACGACGATAATAAAGCAACGCATTGCCTCCAGTTTTATGATAAAAAGTCTTCAGTAAACACACTAGTAGTGTTTTTATAAAGACAAAAACTATTCTCGATGGTCGTCTTAAGCAAATTTTTCTTTGGGTCGCAGAAGCCCACCACCATCTCGTTATTATTGTTTTAGACCAATATAAAAGGACCCATCATAAGTATAGTATATAATATTGGAAACCGCTGAAGAAGGGATCTTTGTTGATCGAGCTCGCTATAAGCCCCCTATCATCGTTAGTATAACTAGGCAGCTTTTTTTATTATTGCTGAAGTAGAAGGATATTTATTTTCATCGTGAAACGTTAATTTTATTGCGCTTATAGTGCGATTATTTCTGCTGATCAAACAAAAGTAAAATCTTTTTTCGATTAATCCGTAACGCCAGTCCTGGAAAAAAGCACACGATAAGCGGCAATTTGTTCCGAGTTACATCGACAAAAAGTGTCTGGCAGTCAGTATTTTGCAGTAAGTACTCCGCAGTGACCTTGTAATGTCACATGTAACAATAAATAGTTGTTCAGAGATATATCACAGCATATAATCACAGAGATTCCAGTATTGAGCAGATTGCAATTGATTAACGGACAGGATATCTAATGGGATTAAATGAAAATTTGGGTACCTCTCAATGAGTACCCTTGGCAAAATCCGAAAGTGTCAAGTAAGCCCCACCAATAAGATTTGTTCAGTTAGTAATCTTCTCAATTTCCCCTAGTTATTGCTATACACGATATGGCAAGATACTTTATGGACGGTTAATAGAATTAGGAACACAATAATAATAAAATTAATTTCGCTGCTAAAGGGGGTCAAGGGACTATGGGAAAGGTCGGCTGCCGTTTCCTCTGCTGCATTGAAATATAGTGAAGAAGCCACAAACAATACATCTGACCCTAATCATGAATGACAAATCAAGATAGACTTTGGCTTAGTGCAACATGCATGTGAATGATAATGCCGTTATCCAATTTTTGTTCTACATGCGTGAATCAATTCATGATACTTTATAAGATTACACTGGTGCTCATAGAACTGCCGTCCACTATTGAACTATAAAACCGAAAAACTAACTCTAGACTATGCGCGTAAATATATGACTATGTACATCACACTTGTGAGCATACTTGGAAATCAGCCACGTATCAATATGTTAGTTACATACGATATTGGAAACGGTGGCAATAACAGCGCGTATATATCAGTGGCACGTATAGTATATATCAATCGAAGCAATAGATTACTGATGGCCACAGGCTGAATAGTTTGCTCGTACAATTGGGGTTCGCACACTTACGGGAACACCTCGTCGCTACCATTGTATATGCGCATTTATGTACACCAATAATCACACACGCGATAACATCACCGATAGGCCGCTTCATGGACACAAACTTTGTAACCCGTAAGTGAAGTTTAGTCGACCTAAGCAGCTAGCTAGCTAACTAGCTAAGACTGAGACACCAATATACGACGCTACTGGCCAGCTTGATGAGCGGCAAGCAAAGTTGTCGCAATTGGATTCTACCTAGAGGCTGTTCGAAACGTGAAAGCAGCGTGTATAGCCAGTCTGGGGTAAAAAATAGGCGTAGAAGTTCTTGAATCAGCTAACTGCAAGACACTAGCTATCTTTAGCTTGGTATTACTCGATAAGACAGATATTCTGGTACAGCCCTGACTTCCATCTATCTCAGCAAATGCTAGCAAATGGCAGTCAAAGATAAGACAGAAAGAGAAGGTCCGCACCTCATTGACAGCTTCAGTAGCATCTCCCATTTCTGCTTTTACTTCAACTACTTCATGTACGAGACGACTACTCTATTTTACGGCTGATAACAGGGCCGTTTCAAAAGTCGCCGTCGAGGAATGCCTAAAATACGTAGAACGAAGCTACAAAGTTACAAATAACGCTATTCGAAGTAAGTACGATAGCGTGGATATGACAATAGCCTCTATAAGCTTCCATGTTATATACCGCTTCCTTTTCCAAAAATGCTGTCATCTATAATGTACCTACGTGATTACCTACATGTGCATAGTAAACAACTAAACAGTTAGCAAACGATAAAACGAGCCTGCAGAGGTCCATCCATTCCTCCATGGCCAATAAGATGAACAGCGGCTATGTCTACTAGTAATGAGGCCTGTTAAGATATTCCACTGTTAGTAAAGCTACAAAATTAAGTAAGCAAAGATAACCTGCCGGTAGCACCTATTTAACATGTAAATCGTGCTTATGTATGTTCGTATACATATATGGGTAGGTCTTTGATTGCCTGAATCTCCTCAGACTCTAAAGGCTTCAGTAAAGGGTAAAAAAATTCCAACCACGGCAAATTGACGAGTTTCTGTATCTACCTGTTCTATTCTGCTATTTCATTCAGCAGTGCTTGTCTGATGCGCTATCGTGGCGTTTACACGTGCACAACTGTGGAGAAATATATATTTACTAATATAATAGACGAACATGATTAATAAAAAGGCACATTTTACTTTTTTTTTACTTGTACATATGATTTGACCTACACATTTTTAACAAAAGATATTAACAGATCAAATAATAGATACATCACTAAGAGCAGGTCTGAAACCTAGTGTAGCGGTAGTCGTTAGCACTCCGAGTCATTTAGTCGGCTCTTCGCCAAGAGCTTGCTATCCGCTTGGTGAGCATTGCACGTTTACTTCGTATACACTGAACTAGACCTGTTGTCGCGAGTTGCTACTTTTTTCTCCGTCCATTAGTCACTTCAACACTTAAAAGACCGCACAAACCGTAAGCTAGTGTTGGTCAACGTGCGTGGATTAGTTACCGGTTTCTAAATTGCATGACCACTATGGTCATAGACAGACACACGAATAGACAAACGGAATTCAGCCCATTACTTTTAGATGTTCTGTGCCATGTGCATATAGTAGTATTTTCCGTTTTTCGAAGTTGGTTGGCTTGACACATGCGGCAGATGGCTATCGCAGAAGCCAAATAGTCATTTACCAATTGTTCATTCATGTATCGCCATTACGACATGCGGGTTGTACCTACTGATGAATTCAGGTTTTGTTACAGCATTTACATAATATGATACGCTGAGTAAAATAATACCTAAATTATAACGATGCGAACACCTTGTCTACGATCAACTATGCGGAACCATATGTGACTCGACACGCCTTTGCTGAGAACCTTGTTATTTGTCCTACCCTTTTGTTTCCATACGCTGGCAATGTCTAAGTTCTGTCACAGCTTAAAAAACTTCGTTGGGCTTGGAGTTTCTTCGGAATTTTATCAAGATCATGATCAAATTAAGTCCGAGTCCTGCACAAAATCACAAACACGGCGTTTCTATTCAATTAGGGGCAAAACGAAACGTTCTCTATTCTAATTGATCTATTCAATAGTCTACCCCGCGAAGCGTTTACGTTCTTGCCTACGTTTCACCAACAACATACAAACGAATCAAATCCTATACTATATAAAGACAAAATTACAACTACGCTATGAATAAAATGGATACGATTACGTTGGTTCGCTAACGTCAATGGACGCTGTAGAAGTGTTGGACGAGAATAAAAAATTAAGCGTCTATTGGTTCGACCTCGAAGTCACCGCGTAAGACATCACGGCTTCCTATCGCACTTCTTTAGAACAGGTGCGACTTGATTTGCGATTTGAAGGGAGAAAATCGAGACGTAAATGAGTGTTTGACACGCCCGCCCAATGCCCCTGTCTTTATGAATGGTCAAATCGCATTTAACAAGATTATCGATCGATTGCCCGGAAACTCAGATAAAAGGCAAATCCACTGGGCTAACGTTACATGAAGCGCAACACAAATGCCAATCTACACGAACTTCCCGGTTTGGTTCAACGCTACGTTACCGCGGCTTTAGATGCAAACTCGGAGTAAGTTAACAAAAAGTTAAACTTGCCCTTTTGAACTATTCAAACATAATATTTATACTAAACGGAGCAGATGATATGTCTATGCTGAATAAATATGTATCTATACCTGCTTCTGCGTTGAGAATATTTTGCATTTAAGTCGTTCAGTTATCTAAACTAGACGAATCAAAACCATTTTAGTCAAACTATGCATGATTAATACATGGTAAGATATTTTTCTTTTCCTTGAAAGTTGGCCACTCTAGCTCACCCCTATATTCTCATTTTCTAATGATATGATGTCATTCGCTGACTTTAGTTTATACAAGCGTACGGCTGACAACTCGTATTATTTCGGCTGACAAGCTCGTAAGCAGCAGCAGCAGCCTACTTATGCCTATTTAAAAGCATTTTTGAGCTGCAAAGCTCGTAAACGTGATCCGTGGTAGCTGCAAGCAGCTAGCTCCTAGCACAAAATAAAGTGCGTTTACGTCCGGACTCGAACGTAGACCACCACAGCAACAACTATGGCAAAGCAATGCGGCAATCCTGTATTGTTACGACGATGACGACTATTTTAACACTTGACAGTTTGCATGGCTAATATGGGCCAATTAGTGCTTAAAGCGGATATCAATTACTCCGCATAATAATGCAAATGTAGTGTAATTATACGGCAGGGGTGTTTTAATAAAATAATGAGACGTATGAACGGCATTTGTTATCGAACATCGATTATTTTGCTACTTTTATTTAAATTTTTTCTTTACATATATACATGATATGACTCACCGGTGAGGTGGAACAGCTGTGCGCGGGTACGAGAGCGTGTTCGCTGGGATTGTCGTTCAATAGTGGCTTATCGGTTAGTTTCCCATTTATTCGTCAGGTTCTATTATGTATGCGCGGGATGCAATGAGTTCTTCATCGATATTGCTGTCATGAGGTTATCCCTTTGTTCTTTTTAGCAGAGTGAGTCCTTTCCGATATGTACACGTTGCTTTATTATTTATATCCAATTGATTCAATATTCAATTTTCAGAGCGTAGAGAACGGGTGCCTCCATCTCAGCTCCCTTTGCTCGTGTACAGTGCTCACTAGCGTAGTACACCATAACGAGAAGTAAGCGTGCTAACGCATATGCGACAGCGTAACCACACCAAAAGACACGTCTAAGTCGAAGCTTAATAATTTAGCCTTAGGAGTACATTTTTATACTTCATGTGATCTTATGACCCAGACCTAATCTGTCCTTAACCTATCTTTCGCGACTTCTGTAAGACCGCTAACCGTCACAGTCTGAACTATTTCGACTGGCAAATAGACCCTGCTTTTTGCGAACGGGGAGGGGACACCAAATCAAGATGTCACCAATGAATGTACAATAGTAATATTCATTTTAATTTGTTGTCATCTGTGAAATCTCAGTATCTACTTCAAGTGATACGTATTTCCGCTTCTATGATGCGGCCTTTGAAACCCACGAGCTCCTTAGGCAACGCTATACACTAGCATGGGCATAGCCATTGGCGGACGTACATACACACAGGCACGGATTACGACAAAAAAAAAGCACGCCTTTAGGACGACACACGATACGGCCAATAACGGGAACCGAGAACAGGATGCGGTCTTCTTCTGTAACGGTTTACCACAACTACGACTTTTACGTGTTATGCTATCTCGTCTAGCCTATTGCTGTCCTGAACTGGACGCAGCGGCTAAATCATTGTAATTACAACCGTTATTGCTCTATACTGTAACGATCGCCCAACAACTGCCAGCGATATTTAACTCGATTAGCCCTTACAGATGTTGGATAGGATATCAACACCACGAGATCCTCAACGACGTTGTAAACAGCCGACAAAGACAGCAGTCGTCAGCAACAGCTGGTGTACTTTCAACTTTAGTCACCGTGGTTGAAGTTGAAGTCAGTGGTGATGGGGGTCGTCGGCGTCGTCCCCGTGATCCCGGTACCATCAGCAGAACAGTACAAACCACTATAGGTCATCATTCACCAGCAAATTCTCTAACTTTCCAGGTCCTTCCGATCTGAATACAGCTACTGTAACTAATTAACTCACTAGCGGCTGAGGAGTACCATTGATTTGTGGTTTTATTAATAAACAATCATCTAAGCCGACATTGACACCACTTCTTGACCGACTAATACAATAATCTGTCGTTGCGAGTTATGTCAGAGGTTTTATCGGGTTATTTGCTGCGCCTGCCACTAGATGGCGCCGGAGCAAAAATGGAGAGCGCAGGAGACCCCGAATCAAAGAGCTGAATGTCTGCAAAGCAGAACGTCATCGTCAACCTGCGCCACTGCTGCCGCCATCATTGCTGTAGCCACACAGAAATGGATGAAACGCGCGGGGAAGGGAACCGAGAATGAGCGATAACTTATGCGTCCGTTGTGAATTTGACCCAAATGAAGCAATATAGCGCTCGCTTCATAATATAAACTAAGTCAAAACCTGTAGGAAAACCCGTTTTTCAATATATGTGATTCATATATAGAGAATAGGCGACAATGGATCATAGGGTCAATGATCATGAAAAATCGCAACAGAACATTTGCAGGTCGAAAATAGAACAAGCCTAAACTGGGTCTCCAATTTAAAAAATAGATAAATCTATATATGTGATATCTTTTGTAAAGGGATATACGGTATCTTAGCTGTTTTCTTACACTACTAGCCTTAGACAATGAGCCTGGCTTTATATCATGTCGAACGCCAGAAAGTCGTTACAGATTTCTATGTCTCTGCCCCAGGTGGGACTGATGAGGTTGCACGATATGAATGCCCCGCCATTTATAATGTGGCTGAGCAAATCGAAGCTATTATTAAAGGTTCTTTATTTTAAATGCAGCGTCTCTCGCTCGCATGTTTTTTTTTGTTATTTGAAAAAATCTCAGATCGACAGCAAAACCATAGCTTGATATGAATTTATTTCAGGCAGATGCATTTTAGACTAAAAATATGTTAAACAGTCAATTTAGTTCTCATGCAAAATAGAGTGTTCCAAAAGCTTTTATTGTGTAAACTTACTACTTACCGAATCAAAAACCTGTAGCAAAGTGCATTATGCCACTTATTACATTCCTATAAATACATATATTATGTTGTCCTTTGTTGTCCATTATTGATCTTTTTGCTACCTAGCGTTCAGCGATCCTAATTCGATAAATCTAAAATTAAATAACTTCTTTTTATTCGCACATGTTGTGAGGTATATTTGTTGGTAAGGCAAGTGGCTACGTCCAACCTCTTGTTTCTTTCAACCAGAGACACCTATCCAAAACTGTATTGTTTGAATGAATGCCTAACGGTGATACCGAATACACAACTCGAGATATAAAAATATCTAAAATTATACAAGGATTAATCATTTTTAATCATGTCCTAATTCTAGATTCTTTTTTTTTTTCGTTGAAGGGCAAGTGTTAATCATTTTAGAGACAAGGTTTATACTTAATTAAGGCTCTCTTGCCAATCGTAATCAAGTTACTATAACACTTCGGTGCGTAGATCGGTCGCTAAAAGGTCAGATGTATGACCTCCAACTTGGGAATTTTTCACTCATTGAGTGCCAGTCCTAGTTGTTCACTTCTGCAAGATATCTCACGTTCTACCAATCTGCCTGTTGCCAAAGGCGAACGTTCAATTCTTTCTCCGAGTGCTAAAAAATGTCAATGTTTCTGAGTGAGATATTTGATAGGGTTAAACTCTTTTCGAGAATTTTGAAGGCTTTTGCGATTTATCAAAAAAAAAAACAAATGATTGTAGTAGACTGAAATTGCTTTTTGGCTATGTCAGTATTCTGGCAATGGGGAGGAATTAAGGAAGTCGGTATACGGTGGTATTTTTTCATGTCGAACGGATTACCATCACACTCAAAGTAATAGGCCTTAGGCGCAGGTTTCGGCGGTGAATTTAAGTGAAAACAGATTTAGTCTCAGGCTAAAACACCAACTATTCTAATATGCGATAATCTTTGCTACACTTTAAATTGACACATCGGGCTTTGTACAGCGATTTAGCCTAGTCACTGTTAATTACGACTGGTTATAACACATGAGTGAGTATACGATACCCTGCACTCTGCTGCTATGCCTTCACCGCTCTATGGTGCCCTTTTATATGCTGGGCTTGCAATTGGTACGTTCCAGATAATAAATCGAGTAATTTCAGGATTTGTGATGAATATTGTTTTCCTACGAAATGTGATCCATGATAAACACATAAAACGTAAACTAGATATCTTACCAACAATAAGAATGACGCCCATGATACCTCGAGACATTCAACTTTGAGTTGCTTTATTCAGTCACACCTGCTCATTAGGACGAAGAGCTACTATCTACGAAATCGTTGAAACGACTGAGCGACAATTGCTAAATAAGACGCGTACAAAGAAACTCTAGATGGATACCTGCCCTATGGTCCACCTACTACTCTTTATAAACTACAGCAAAACCTAAACGATCTGTAATAATATTGAGGATCTATTACAACAATTTAAGAGCTGTACATATGGAAATAATTTTTGTACCTTGCAATATCATATGCAAAAACCGTGACCTTCAGAACTTAGCTAAAATTGGTTAGCTAAACCGCATCGTACTACAATGCGAAGTAAATATTTTTACACTGAATTCCTGAAACAAGTGTTTAGCGTAACTGAAACTAAGCTAATGCGCAAAAAACGAACCATATAACAGTGATACATGGATAGTTACCGTGCGCGAATATAATCTATTACATATACAAGGGCTCTAAATCCTTGTTGAATGAAATATTAGCAAAAACATAAACTATTCAATCAGCTTAAAGGAAAATGTGACGATGATGTTCAGCATTTTCAAGTAAAATTAACTCAAATGATTGGTTTGGTGCTCTGTATTCCTTTCCTGCGCAGTTCATCGTAGGTATAAGTATCGTTGCGCATTTGTCCCGACACACCTTACTGAGCTGGGCTGTCATTTGCCTCACTGATTATCTCGTTAACCAGAACCGCTCGTGTATTAACATTAGCCAGGTACACTTCTCAGACCAAACAATATTCGAATGGACGCTTCTTTGTTTCTTCTTCAAACTACGCTTATTAATAATATCTTAAAAGACATCTGTAATGCATTTTGGAGAAAAGGCATATTTGAAATAGAAAGCACAGACATGCCCGACTTCTAATAATAATATAATCTTTTTGCCCTTCTTTGATATAGAAGTTCGTGTACTTTTTGCTCATAGCCAATTGGTAGACTACTTGGAACACGGATTCTGCAAAACGTTTGGGCAGCAGTCACAATTCTAGGCTCGTCTGGATAACCCTTAGGCAGTGACTAGACCAATAACAAATCCGCCTGGAATACAATGACAAATTACATCGGAGCAAGATGTTTGCCAGATTAAATAGGTTAAGCTTATTCTGTGTTGTCAAATGAAATTTAAAAACTTGATGTTGTAACCGTATCTTAAAAACCGTATTTTAAAAATGATGTGTTTCATGGATTTGGTTCGTGAACTTCTTTTGGTGAAAGCATTCATGACTTACCGATAAATCCACCTCCGAGGTACATGTTTTCTTGTAAGAAGTCCTTTACCTCCCCCAGAACTGGTCTGATAAAGCCTTGGGGACGTCGACTGAGTTCTCGTTTTGCCTCGGCTAAGTCCCGTTCAACTGCTCTCCAGTTAATCTGTAAGGATGTACAGCAGAATACCCAGATGTACAGCGAGCACAGTTAAATTATCGAACGTAATTTATAATGTTTTACATATAGAACTCTATAACAGCTTGTTTTTTACCCACGAGTGGACAAAATCGTTGCAGTTATCCTTATCCTAAGTAACGAAAAACAAAAAAATGTTTTGCGTATTTCACGTCCGGTACTTAAGCCATTAGTGACTATATCACACAACTGGCTCCCAGCAAAAAACGTTTTTGTTCATATGTGGATCTAGACTGGCATGTGTTCATAAGTTCACCTAACAAACGTGTTACTTATTGCTCTATCACAGGCAAGTAGCTCTTACCTTGACATAGCCCATGTGTGCTGCAAGCTGAAGCAAAATGAAACTGCCGCTGATGACAAGGGCTGCATTTTTGCCCACTCGGCCGCACACGAAACCGTTCACTCTGATCGAATAATGAAATGAAGAGAAAATTATAATAAACGTACTTATGCTCCTAATAAATTATTCTCGTACTATTAGCATCCTTTCAGCGTGTACTACTTCAAATGAAACTAGCGCCTAGCTATAAATGTTGTAGTTATAAATGTAGTTAACATTAGTGAAGAGCGCCAGATCCGAAGTGAAGACTTACCATGGTAGCATCTAGGAGTAATTAGTATTGCATTAGGTAGCCGAATTAAATTCCTTTTATCACACTATTGCACATGAAGACGAGAGTAACAATGGGTCTTTCAAAAGCCATATGAGGACATGACACTTACGTTTTAGCTGTGCTAAGGCGTAGAATTTAGGGTATAGGATAGGTTTTATGAGTTCTGTTTGTATAGGATGCAAACTTTTTTTTTAAAAAATGGTCGATTTAAAGGTAGGCCTATTTACGTTACTTACGTGCCTACGACAGCTCCGATGGCGCATTGTTTTGCAGGGGATGCATTCGAAAGTTCTTCAAGAGCCCGATCGAGCCAATCATTTTCCCTTTTTTTTTTAACGATCTTTAGACGCTCTGCTATATCTCGAACTTCTTTAGCAACCGCTGCAATACACAAAGAGGTGCACAAAAAACTTCGAAAGGATTTCGCGAGAAATAACAGAAGAGAAGCATCTGTCTACAACCTATTAGTGTATTTCTAAGTCAAAACCTCTTAATGAAACGTATGCACATAACAAGCGATTGTGGCCTTCTACGCCACATTTTCAGAATTTCGCCAGAATTTCGAAATTTATTTTAGACTGATTCATAAAGAGCAGAATATTCCACTGGCCCTGGTGTGATGACCCTTAACAGCCCAGTCACTGATGCTCCATGCATGCACGTATTTGCCAAAAAAGTAAGATTGTAGTCAGGTGCATTGCATACAAAAATAATAGTATATATTCCACTATTAAGTTAACTTGTATTGTTTGAGGAGAAGAAAGAGCATAACCACTTTAATTTATTTAAGTTTATAGCGTTAGCTATAATATTTAATCTTTTTTATGCTTCTTATGCCTTGTTTACTCTAACACTCATTATATGAACCGTTACTTTGGCTCAGAATAGAATACAATAGAAATACTAGCTACAACATTACACTTCTTCGGTTAATTGTGCTAACTTACCGTACGGACCCTACACGACTGTCACATAAAGACGCGCTGCGATAGCAGAGGTTGGCCATATCTAAAGACAGATCTAGCTAACCTAAGCCGTTTGAGAGCATCACTTTTTTAGATCAGAGGTAATCTAGGATAAATCATTGCCGCTAAAAACACATACATAAGCGTTCTTCCGCAGATGGATACATATAAGCAAATCATCTGTATATATCTAATAGAGTTGCTTTGAATAGAGTTGTTAGCATGGAAAGTTTAATTAATTTTATGGAATGTATCTAATTTAGTAAAGCGAACGAACTTTCGATATAGGCGTGCGATTTATGAATTTTACTAGGCGTAATGATTTGATCCAAAGACCATTATCAGCGTCAACGATTTGTACGCTAAATTAAGGATTTCAAATATAATAGCTACCGTGGCCTAGTTTCATGCACAAATGTTCGTCTTACGCATAGAAGAAATAAATGCTGAGATTAAGTATAGCCATTAGTTAAAAGAAGTTGAAGTTCCGTATATTAGTCATTCACATGCGGTTTTAAAAGGGTTATCGTTTTCAAAGAGCGCTTAGAGCCTATTCTATAGAAAGAGTGATGCTTTTTCACGTAACTGTGCAACGTTTCCCTCAATCCAAATCCTACATGTTAAAACAACTATTGAATAAGTTCTAATATATTCTGTAACTCTACTTTCTTATAGAAAGGTAAAACCTTTCATCCCAATCAACGAAGCAAATACAGTAACAATAACACCTTATCTCGCCAGAAACAGCCTAAATCAATTAGTCTAAGAAACGAATATTAGTGGCCATCAGGAAATGAGTTTATCTTGATATCATAAATAGGCACCCTGACACCGAACTCACATGAATCTCCTGGATTTTCTAGACTAAACAGTTAAATTCGCCACTTAGTACATTGAGAAAGAGAGCGGTATGACCTATTATAATAGACCATGCCTTAATCGTAGCAAATTGGCAAGATTTAAGATGAGAAATGGGCATGATCGCAATAATCATGTTCACTATAAGCAAATAAGGGCACCATAAGTATTCCCACACATAGCATGTATGCATAGTGTCCACGCAAGAAACCAGTCGCTCACTCTTATTTATCCAAAATAATCTGATGAAAAAAGTATATATTACAATAGAAAGTTAATGGATTTACATTTGTCTCATGGTTGAAAATCAAATTTTGAGAAGGTACTGTAACTCTTTCGTAATGCAGCTCGGTTGAGCCGTATAAGTATTCTTTGTAAAAGGCATAGGGTTACCTAGACGCTTGACAGCAGTCGAAAAGAATGTTGAATTCGTTTTTTATTCTATGTAGAAATAACTATGTGCAATAGCTTTAGGTTTGTCTCGATACTCACTCGGTCCTTTCATAGCTGAATACCCTCTTGCTGTCCGCCAGCTGCTCGGAACCTCTGATTATGCGCTATAATACGTTGAAATTACATTAAAATAACGCCAGAAATCTATCAGCTATAGAGCAGAACAATAATAATAATAAACAAGTCGGATGAATGAATGAATTCATAGGTGATTTCTGCAGGTAGAGGTGCTTATGAGTCGTTGCTTCTCAGAAGCCAGAAGACGTCTCCGAAAATCCCAGACCCAATAAAAGGTCCCGTAACCGAGAAAGAAGTGTTCGTTTGAATTAAAGTATATGATTCAACAATAGGTTCTTTAATAGTTTTTATCGCATGATGGTGGCCTGTACTCATTTCTATAGAATACACGACACTTCGAGTCAGAACATTGGCTTCGCATGAAGGCTTTGGTTATTCCAGTACACTTCAGATTAAATAGGTATCATAACTTTCGATGCAACAGCTTCTGAGTAGTACACGCGTAATTGGAATTATCAGTGTTTTGTCCTGTTTTAAGATAAAACCTTATTGCCGAGGTAAAAGGTTGTTAAATCCCTTACTTCAATATTGTGCCATCCGTTTACTTATAACGAATAAATTCGAGACAACTACAGGTAATAATCCAAAGCTAGTTTGTATTCTATCGCGTTTAATGAAGTGTCCTCAAGGCTCTTTTCGATAACTACAGACAACGACAGCCCGTTGTTTTTGCAGCTTAAAGATCTTCCTGTCGCAGATGAAAATTGTTCCCCAATCAAAGAGTTACCCGCTCCATGATTAGAATTTGCAGTCCGAGTTTTCAACGATACGCTGTAGTGAAATTCGTGTAAACTGCCTCGTGAATGAACACTGCCTATAATAACATTATTGTATTCATGTGAAAGTTTTTGGGGAGGATTCCTCTGTCAGTACTCGTATTGCCTGGCTTCGAATCGCGCCTACAATCTACACTATTCGGAAAGTTGCGGCAAGTGTAGGTGCACTTGCCATTATAATTGCAAGCCGCCTATTAATCAATCCGAAAGACTGTGAACTATTGGAAAGGGTTCCTAATTAATAGGCAGGTTTCGACTAGCAAAGTACGGGCCAATACTTTCACTGGCTTCCAGATATTCAGGTGTTAGAGACGGTAGGACTACTTTCGAACATTCCCAAAAAAGCCAGCTCGGGTCGGGTTTTTCCCTGCCACTAGAGAAAGTGAACGTTTGAAAATCGCCGCTAACTTAAAGTAACTTGTACTCTAACCGACTCGATAATCGATTCTTGGACTGTTTTGTTTCTTAATGATCCACATAGATCAGTTACTTTGGCCTGCGATTTATAAGCATATACATATAAAGATAATCTAATTACCGCTTTTAACAGTTATGTAACGGGTTCGAGAATAATTGCTTTCGAACAGTTCTCTTCTAACTGATGGTACCGTATATCTCGTTAATTTTTCGAACTCTTCAAGGGCCATACAAGTACCGCACTTGTAGCCCTCTTATTTGATTTTTATTATCGGAAAATTTTTAAGTCTAACTAAATGTTGCAAATTGTACGTACTTTAAGCTACTATTGATTCATAAAATTTTATGGATCTAAATGAGTCTTACCTTATCGGAGTGTAGTATAATGTTTGTGAAAGATTCTACCTTATTAAACATATCGTGCCTAAAAATCCTCAGGACGGCAAGCTCACCGCGAAGTCTGGAAAAACTATGGATATCAGAAAGTTTTTTGGTGCGACCGGAAGTTCAAAAAAAGTTCTCAGTGGCGGCAAAGCAGCTAGAAAAGACCACGACAGTAATGAATATACGGATAAAAATACGAAGGGCGCCTCGATAAACACAGAAAAAAAGGTATGAACGATTGCAAGCTGAGCGCCCCATCTACGCAACGCTTTTTGTAGCATAGCATTAATAAGTTTGCGTTCGTTCTGATTTCGATTCCGGTCTATTAAATACGAATTAAATGGAAACAGAAAAATCTGGAACTTGTCATTCGATTTTGAAGATGTACAGAGGTATTAAGCATGGGTCGCAAAATTACGTTTCTCATATATAGCACCATATATAATTTCGAAACTAAATACTAACTTGCACTAACTTCTCGTGTGTGCAGTTGCAAAGAACGCGCAGAGCAGAAGTAAGGTTCGCAAACAAGCAGATAAATCAAGAATCAAAATTAAAACTAGACACATTATTATGGCTAATCTACAATAAAAAAAATAGGCAGCGCTAAAACATAATGAAACCATTCATATTAATCATCTTTGTTGATAGAGCTTGTCAATTTTTCTTGAATGCATACTATGAATCCTTTTGCTACAGGTTTATCCGCCTTATAAAGGTTTCGCAGCTAATATATACCAAAATTGTAGAGGTCGAAAGCTTGAAATGTGATCCCATGATCCATGAGAGGATAGTTACAATCCTTTACGCGTCTATGTATATCTGCATCTCCGGCCTCTGCTTATACTTGAATGTGTAACGTGACGATCCGTATTTATGTACAGGTAAAAAAAAAAATACAAACGGCGGAGACGCGCACTCGGGCTAAATCTGTATAAGAGTGGACCAGTGAAAGCTGTTCTGAGTGTACTCATAGCTGTTCTTTCTCATTTCCATCTCCCCGCTAAAATAAATTTCCCATTCCCGTTCGCTGCTAAATTTGATCAACTGTTATTTCTTTCTTGCCACTGCAGCAGCACAACACCCTAAGCGTGAACAAATCATAGAGCGATAAGTGCCGTACAATAATTAAGCTATGATACACTGTGTGAAATCATACCTTGCTTTATAAACTAGTAGTTATGTTAATAACATTGAGTTTACGTAGCTGGGAACAGAAGGATCCCCATCAGGAAATGGTGGCAGATCTAAAGTGGTGCAAACTATGAGACAAAAAGCTAGTGCCAGATCTCGAAGCGGTGGTGGCAAACACTTCAAGTCAAAGGGGATACGAGAACGAAATAAAATCTTCTTGATACAGATTTAACGGAAGTCTATTTTCGTAAACTATTGAATAGTGGTGCATTTTTTTTTCATTTCAGGTTTAGTTTCTCAAATTCAATTTCCATTAAAATTTGAGTTATTTAGTTTGTACTGAACCAACTGAACAAAAAGACTCCAGAAGAGTTTCGTATCGGAACTAACCGGTAGAAACAGCAAAACGAAAAGTGTTTTGCTAAGACCCGAACCAAAGCTTGGCGCTGAACACTTTCAGCTGAAATAAGAAGGACTCTTTGAACGAAGTAGAACTCATTTTAAGCAGCACAGTGTACTTTTTGATACCGTTTTTTCGTGCTTAGCTATTGAGTTTGAGTTGAATTGACGCCAGAAACCGCGGGCACAACCAGGCAGGGGAAAAAGAAGAGTTTGAGGAACAGCATCAAAATCGAAGTTACTACCAATATCTCTAGCTACGTCAAGTAGTAAAGCTTAGAAGTAAAGGCAAACGTACGATAAGAAAAAAACATTATAATTGTTTTCTGTACTATGTCCCTTGCTGTTCTTTTTTATTACATCATAATGTTTACCTGGTACCCTGATCAGTAATAGATTGCCATCGCGATTCATTGCTGTTTTTGGAAGATCAATTTGTGTTCGTACATATGGCGATAACATGCTGTCAAATTTTCTAACTCTGCTGGAACCTCATCACACCCACAAAGAGTTCAAACGATAATTTTATTCGTCCGAGCGTTTGATCCGCTAGGTACTAAATTTTAAATTATTTTTGATTATAGACACCCATCAAGCCTGGATCTTCTGAAAAATACAGGAAGTTGACAACAACAACAATAACAACTGGAAAGTCTGTCACTAAATCCTCGCCAACTTCTAAACAGAGTCTTCGAGAATCCAAAGATTTATCCAATGAAGAAACAGGTGAGTAGGCAATGTGACAAGAGACGTACGGTGATGACACGATTTCTTCTAGGTTCACTTGTTACTATCAAATAATAATACACACGAATGCAACAATAATTTATGACTAATATATATTATGGAGCGTTTGATCGAAACTGAAGTGGTAAACGTACATCAAAGCAACAAGAGCAACAGTATTTTCCGCAATTTTCTTAACTGTGTTAATATATATATTTTTTAAAGAAAACTTATTATAAGAAAACAAATAAAAAAGAAAGAAAGAACCAATATTGATATTGAAGGCTACATTAAATAATCAGTAATTTAACATAATGATGATAACATAATGCATTGCATTAATTTTAGCAAAATATGAAGAAGGTGGAAATAGACGTGCTAAGCGCTTAGGGAAGAACGGTACATCACGTGCTCAAGTCGTTCATGATATCAGCGACAGTTCAGAATCAGACAATGAGGTTACTATGAGTACGAGCCAAGACTCTCTTTCTGCGACCCCAACAAAAAAGGTTAGTTAAGCCATAGCAAGCTTAATTATTAGTCACTTGGTAAAGCACTGGTCGCGGGTTTTTAAATTTCCAAGTCAAGATATACCTAAGTACAATTTAAAGTATTGTTAATACTAGATTTCGTTCTGAAGCCTCGCAAGGAAGCTGTTTCTCCAGCAGATTACTTCTCGAATAGGACTGGCCTTAAAGAAGGACATCAACCTAAAGAGTTGCCAATTAAACTATCTTACCCTGGAAAGTTAAGGGTAGGTTGAAAATCTGTTTCATATATAAATTTATTATATATATTATTAAACTCTTCATCAGGCCAGTTCACAGACTCGGCTAATGATGTGTAAAGTCATTAATAATCGTCAGATTTTAGTGTATACAATTTGGGCTGCACAAAAGGTGAATTTTTTTAGGTTTGCCACCTCATCAAAAATTAAAATTCTTTAAGTAAGGTGTACCAAAATTACTTCCCACTTTTGTTGATGTGCAGAACTGAGCTCTGTCCGTCAAAATGGCAGGAATCCAGGTCATTCATACAGCCATTTAACAGCCAGCGTTGCGGTATCCATTGTAAAAAAGCCAGAGATAAATATTAACAGGGTTCAGCGATATCAATATAAACATTGATGAGTTTGGATTTCTGCCGGTGTACAAGAGCTTCGAGCACCCCTTAACGAAGGTGGAGCCCGAAGGAAATTAAAAATGTTCGCAATTTTGTTACCTATATATCACTAATATTCAGGAGAGTAACAGGTCACCTAGGGAGAGAAACGGAAAGTCAGAAAAGAGCTTGAACCACAGTGACAGCAGTGACGTCTCTGAGAACCGTAAAAAAGGCGTGACGACCGAAAAGAGACGAGTCGAGACATATTCGAAAGAGCAAAGCACAAAAAGAAAACGTCTGCATGATAACGATGAGGTAAGTCCATCATACCTAGAAGACAGGAGCAATTTTCGAACCTTCTTGCAGTCGACCTTAGGCTAGAAGTAAACCTGACGACTTTATTTCATGACTGCCCTATGTTGTCCTTATCATGATTGTATGATTTATTACATGATTATTTATTTATTTATTATACATAATCTAATATGAGAGCCTTAAGCGTTATTGCTTTATATAAACCATAAACATATATTGACTCATTTATTCAACTCTTCCTCTTCCGTTACTACTCTCCATTTTTCTGCATCTCTACAAAATTCTCACAGATTTTGTATTTGGCGCTAAGCACAGTTTGCCTGGACATGGTTCCAGGTATCATCAGAAGAAGCCGAATCAAAGCCCCGAGTACCAAAGGAACGGCGTAAAACAGAAGAAACTGCTGGACGTGACAGGAGTAATAGCACCTTTAAAGAATCCGAAATTAAACAAACAGCAAGGAGAACGATTAAAACAAAAAAGGTAATTAATGACCTCCATATCTCCTTTGTGGCTATTCAGATTCACTTTTGACTACTAAGAAAAGTAAACTTGGTCTGCTTCTAAATCACGGCTATTCGGATGTCAACATAAACTACCGCATATTAAGGTTTTTTCATTAAAATATTTAGCTAACAAAAAATATCATATTTATAGAGCAATGAAACCATGAAAATGTAGAACTAGATCGATGGTTATTATTGTTATCAAATCTTATAGTTAAAAGAAATTCTTGAGGTTTTCTCTCATTGTTTCTCTTTCTCCTGTAGAATCGGAAACAAGAAGATGATGAAGAGGCTATGGAGGTCGATGACGATGCTTCAACGACAGTGCGGAGCCCGAAAGTTACGCCTATGCTAAAGGAGGCCCGCCGATCACAAGGAAGTAACTACATGGCGTACCTTAACCGGGAACCGCCTAGACATCTTGGGGAGCGAGCCCATCCACCGGGTTCGCCGAACTGTCTGAAAGGCTTCGTTGTTGTTATGACAGGTATACCCACACCACATTTATCATCCTTTAATCCATCATTATTATTATACCTTGTTTAAGGCTACTTCCTGCCTTAAATTCAGTGGTTAACTAGTACTAGGTAACACACCTATTTCAGTAACAACATAATAATAATTGGAGTGTTGGCTTATGTGTAAGATGACGTAAGATTAATATGGATTGTAATTGTAATGTAATCAGGCGTAATGGACTATGTAGAAAAAGACGAAATTAAAGAAGTAGTCGAGCGCTGCGGGGGACGGATCACCGGTAACGTATCGGGAAAGACAACACATCTCATCGCTGGAAGAGACGCAGGACCCGCTAAGGTATATGTGGATTTTTCTAATATACATAGATTTAAAATGTATTCAAAAACTATTCGTCTTCTATACATGTGCTATTGTTGTTATCGGTTAGAACAATATGGAATATAGATGGAACAATAGCATGGAAATCTCTGTTGGCGGAAAGACATGAAACAGGAAAATTTAGTTACCTTACAGCTCTCAGAAGATTCGATTAAATCGAGAAAAGGTACCTAGACTGACAATTGTTAATGGCTAAGCTGCACCGGTGTCCATAAGGTCGGTATGTGCCGGTAGCAATGTTCCTTCTGTAATCTAACGGTTTAATCAGCGGTTTATATGAGAGCTCTTCTAAGGAGTGACAGCTACATAATTAAAAGCAATACGTTGTTTCACTCACAGACATCGTTTCCCAGTGCTAAAGGGCACGTTACTAGCGATATAATACTGTGGCATAGACTAAGCATACTTAAATAAACTGACTTATTTCATTGTAGATTTCCAAAGCTGAAGCTGTGGGAGCGCAGGTTGTAGACGAGCTGGGCTGGTTTGATTTAGTTGAATCAAAAACCGATAAAGTAAAGGCTTTTGCGGCGAAAAAGGTTACTACACCCACCGAGTTGATTTTTCTGCATGCGCTTACGTATGGTAATTATAAATAGTAGATGAATAATCGTAGACTATACCACATACAATATGTACTTTGGTTGACGCTTTACTATGACAAAAATTCATCCGACGGAGTATCTTTAAATAAGCTTTTCACTTTATTATGATTCAACAGAAGATATTGTTTATGCAACAGATTGCAGATCCAGTTGAAGACCTAATGCGAGATCTTGAGGATACTGAGCAACAAACGCCTAGCAATAAAGCCAAAATAGGTGATTCAATGGTTAGTAAGGTTAAGATAACATATATTGTCATTAGCTTATTTGAATTCTTTAAGTGGTATTAATTTTCTCCGTATCAAGTATTACCGAGAAACAGACGTAAAACAAGAGTTCAGTTGGTGTTAGAATGCTCTTCACAAACTGTATGTTATATCAATTAGTGCGACCTACCACTAACATCGATATTTCGACGGTAATTGTATTTGTAGGTTAGGTATGTAATTCATTCAGATTAATACCCTACACGTTGTGGTTTGGTCTCTTCCCTACAGGGTTCTAAAGTCAAATTTTCTAAAGTAGAAACCTTTGGAGAGGCGTCAAAGAAAAACGATAAAAATGCCATAATGGCAAAGGAGGATGAAGTAGTCGATCACAGCTTGTCGGATACAAATAGACAAGCTTCTGGTCTTATGTGGGTTGATAAATACATGCCGGTAGACACGAAGCACATTATTGGACAACAGGTGAGAGATAAAGGCGGCTTTCTTCGCTGTATGCTTGTCATTAAACAGATGAGACTGACCGGTTTAGCATCCTTAAAGGCATTATTTGGTACCAGCTTTTCATATACAGATATATTATTAGAACAAATATTTCGTTTCAGCGTTTAATGAAAGTTTGCTAAATTGAATAGTGCAGGCCAGTCATTTACCGGATGTATTTTCAGGGCGATAAAAGTAATGTTGCGAAGCTTCGTCAGTGGCTAACCAAGTGGTCTGCGAATGAAAAACCTGTTTTCGCTGGCAAATTTAATAGAGGTACAATGGACGGTTCGGGAATGAAAGCTGCTCTGCTCTCGGGTCCACCTGGAGTGGGAAAAACTACAACAGCACACCTCGTTGCCAAAGAACTTCACCTCGATGCAAGTTCCTTTTCTCATTACGGAAGAGCTAGACATCAAGCCTCAGTTTTTCACTGCCTATAGGGCACTAAGGGAATTTATGCGGTTGTCATAGCAGTACCGATCGGGTCCTTGTTGTGAGGAATAGGCCGTTAATCAGAAAGTTGATTCACAATAATTTGTGTCAGGGCATCTTCTACCCAGAAAGTAGCCATTAGTGACAGTAGTATAGTAGCCTTCCGTGACCAAATATATTTATCTAGCATGAAAGGCTAAAAAGTAGATGTATTTAAAATTTGTGACAATGTTTATTGTTAGCTGTTGTTATATTGTTTTTTTTAACGTAACAATATTAGTGTTATTGGTGTATAGTGAGTTTTTTCTCAAGTCAGACATTAATTAGCGACACGGTACTGAAAAACGATATGTATTATCGATGTATGAATTTGTCCATACAGTATTTCGTCACATTAAAATCAAGCAGGGTTTTGCTTTTTTTTAGGTCATTGAATTGAATGCTTCGGATACACGAAGCAAACGCTCACTTAGTGAAAAAGTGACGACTTTTTTGAGAAATCATACACTGGCAGAAGGAACCAACAAAAGGCATGTGTTGGTGATGGATGAGGTTAGTAGCTAACTCGAATTTAGAATCACAACCACGATTATCGAATAGATGTTCTTCTGAAACATATGTTTTATAACAAATTATTAGCTCTGCTAATTACAATATGAGTGAAATCCCCCCCCCCGTGCTGAAAACGGATATACTAAGATGCTTTATTTAAATCGATTTGTCGAGTACATCGGTGTTTTATAAAGTTTGCATAGTGAACATGAATCTAAGATACAATAGCATGTGCCCCCAAAACGCAGAATAATACAAGTATTTATAAGTATTTTGTAAAATTATAATCGATCAGGTTGATGGAATGGCTGGCAACGAAGATCGCGGCGGCGTGGCCGAACTTATACATTTGATAAAAACCACCAAAGTGCCAATCATCTGCATTTGCAATGACAGGTTAGTTAACAAAATATATAAATCTTACTAACTAATTAACCATTTTTGTTTTAGTTTAAGAAGCTGTTTCACGCTTGTGTGCAGTTTTTGAACAAATTCTTTTTATATTTATCTGGCGCACAGTATGGCACGGATATGATTTGCGGAACTCTTACTTGCATAACTTGCAAACCGAAAAGTACACAAGAAGTGCTTGAGTGGGAATAAATTTCCCTCAAATTGGGGTGTCTATTATATGTTGGATATCAACGACTATTAAATAGAGAAGTTTTCGTATATTTTTGTACCGTGTTTCACACTTGTTCAAACCGCATTAATACTTTTTTTATATACCTGACTTTCTCAGATTTTGCTTACTCATAATAAATTACTCATATTTTTACCGGCTTTACAGATCTCATCCAAAAATGCGTTCATTAGTCCACTACTGCTTTGATCTCCGTTTCTACAAACCTCAACCGAAACAGATTCAGGCGGCCTTGATGAGTATTTGCTTCAAGGTAGGTTTTTGTGCAGGGCATGGTTTACTACCGGTATATGGAATTTCCTTTCTTAATTATGGACGATCCGCGTGTTTGATTCCGTTAACATCCAAGATTCAGTTTGTGATAAACAATATGTTTTGCACATTGTTCACTGTAATATTTGTAGGAAGGATATAAAGTTTCTCCCAAAATACTCGAGGAAATTGTTATTGCCTCCAACCAGGACATCCGGCAATGTATTCATAATCTTAACCTGTACTGCGCGTTGCAAAAGGCCAATACTGACGCAAAACCCACAGCAGGTTTGAGACAATTTAGTGTTCTGTTGGAATTAATTGTTAGAATTAGATGAAATAGAACGGAATTGAGAGTCTGCTATTTACTTCCATCGAAATGTGTGCTGCCCTTGACTGCACCGCTTGCAGTAGCTTGACTTTCTGGAATACAAAGCGATAACCCATTCTCTGACGTGGTATCGGCACAGGTCGATCAAGCAGAGATTCCAACTACTACCCAAACGATACCTAGGCTATTGTTCTAGAATTAGAATCAATATTATCACTGGAATTAGTTCGTATAGTTTCATTTGTGACCATTTACCATGGACGAATCTTGAACGTTACTATGGCATAAATGAATCAGTAGTGACCTCAGGAAAATAGTAAATTTATAATATCTACCTGTAACTATAGTAGGTTCGTCCGATAAGCCCGATGGAGCAAAAGGTGTGATGCCGATTAAGGACGTTCGCCTGGGTCCATTTGATGCCATCAAAAAGCTTCTCGTCACATCCGAAGGTGGTGGAAAGATGTCCTTGAATGAAAGGTAATCAGGAATTTGAATGGTTGTAAAGCTGAACAAGGAAAACCATAGTTTTGATACATACTGAATTGCAAATGTTTTTTTAACTTGAAAATTACATTTATTAGCCAATTTTCGGAATTTCTATGCTGCGAATCTCGCCAAAAAAGGGTGACAGATTTTCAAGGATATCAAAGGGATCTTGACATTTAAGACTTGCACGAAGTACTTTTAATATAATCTAATTATTAACCCATGCCTAATCATACTTTGATTCTTTCATGCATACTTTCGCCTACCAATACATTGATTATTTAAGAACACACTAGTTCATGCTTGATTCATATGACAATATATCAGCTATCTGCACGTCATGTTCTATATTCGGAAGTTTCGAACATATACTACATAATAACTATATAATAAAATTTTCTCATTTAAAACAATATTTAATGTGTATTTGCCTACTTCTTCCTGATCACTTTTAATTTTAGGCAATCGTTGTTCTTCAACGATTACAATGCAATTCCGCTTTTTATTCAAGAAAACTATGTGCAAGTTACGCCAGAGCCGAAAGTATCTAAGGTATCGTTACTGATTACGCTTATGAATAACATTATCGATATATTATGAATAAGTCTATTACATGTAGTATATAAACTAACTTTAATACGTGTTTGTGCAATGGCAGTATTTATCAGATCATTGAACTTGACCAGCAAGGAAAAGAAAAAAAGGCGTTAATTAGACATTAGAGCAAAAAAGGATGCACTCCCAAAGATACGTGCATTAACGACGTATCCTAAAATTGCAAATAGTGATTGTATTGAATGCCATTATTGTTTGACTTACGTAAACTTGCAGATAGAACATCTTTGGAGACTAGCGCGCGCATCTGAATCAATTTGTTATGGTGACACTGTTGAGAAGGTGATTCGTAGCAATAATGCATGGGCTCTTTTGCCTACCCAGGTAAGTAATATTTATAACTAAATAATTAGCTAGTGTTGTCGAAGCTATTCTTAACAAGCTCATCTACGAACATAGAGCTATGTTACAATTAAACATATTTTTTTATCTTCTTTCAGTCTGATGATAATAATAATAATACTACATAATAATAACAATGCAATTATCTAAGTATTAGTTGGCACTCATTCGTCCATCGTAATGCAGGCACGTCAATTATGTATTTTTAGCAACAAAGCTTTTCTGTATCAGGCAAAAACTTATTAGCATCAGCCATTGAAATGCTTTTTTTTCGAGAATAGTAATACAAAATGCTGCCTATATGGATAGAGTTCTGAACCCGTTGTTTTTTCCCTTTATAATGCGTCCGAAATCAAAGCTTTTGTACTAACAGTCAAAATCAGTGTAAATATCATGTTTGTGTTATAGGCGTTATTCTCAGCAGTAATACCATCCGATGAGGTGCGCGGCAACTTACGATCGATGATAAACTTCCCTAGGTGGTTCGGCCAATACTCTAGCTCTGCGAAGCATCGAAGACAAGCACAGGTACTATCCTGCGTCAACCTAGAATTTTCTTCAGAATAGTTTTGGAAATATAGGCTTTATATGCACAAGTGTGTAAATGGCTTATGCATTTAACCAACGCGCTAGCTACTAATTCATTATTATTATTGCTATATTTGGAACAGTTACCACATTTTTGTTGTCACAGAGCTGTGGTAAACCATGTGGTAAACCATTATTAGTCTATATTATCGATCTATAACATTATGAGAAAACTAAGTTAAATAGAATTAATAGAAAGAAATCCGTGCGATAACTTTCAGGCACTCCACACCCACATGTCGTGCCGTATAAGTGCTGACATATTCGAAACGGCTGCGACTTACTTGCCTGTTATTACTCGAAAGCTTATAGAGCCACTCATTCGGGAAGGGGAAGCTGGAGTTGATAAGGTGGGAAGCCAAGTATCCCTAAAATGTAGCTTAAAATTATTTCCTAATATAATGTTATTTAAAATAAACCTGTTAAGTTTTACGCTCACGATGCCGTTAAGCTTTGCCTTAGGTAACTGGTTATCACTACAATGAAGCTTATTATCGTTGTTTAGCATATGAATTGCCCAAATTTGCATAAAAATTACATACAGCAAATTAGACGTATAAAAAATGTTTCTTTGACATGCAGCAGGTGTGTACAAAGAACTACTATTGAAGCTGAACATGAAGTCCTTGATTTGCAAATAACTTGATTCGTACTGAGATATCTGGATGAAACATACGATTAATTATCACAAGCATTTCCAAGAGCTATGTCATTCCACTATTATCAATATTTTCATTTTACAAATGTTTATTTGCCCGTCATATGTGCAGGTGATGGCAGTTATGTCCGCGTATAGTCTTCAGCGTGCTGACATGGACGCCATAAGCGAATTAACAACATGGGGCGCTGCTACCGACCGTGATCGTGATCCTCTTCAAGGAGTCTCATCGAAGGTTTGTTTACCGTAGATACCAGGAACAGCGATTGTGTCGCTACAGTCACGATGGTGTATGGACTATAAGAGCTTCTAAGAAACTCTAGGCTAACACAACTTTAAAGGATAAATATGTTGATCGAAGTCATTTGTGGCAAGCTAACTTATTATGTTGGCATAATTAAATATGTTCGATTCTCCTAATTTACCGCCCACAGGTGAAGGCAAAGCTAACCCGCACGCTGAACAAGGAGCTGATGCTACCTTATGCCACTGATGATATGATCAAAGCTGGTGGAAAAAAAGTCAAAAAAGAGCCGAAGAAAGGAACCAAAGCCGTTAAGGAAGACACCGAAGCAACTGAAGGCATTGAAGAAGAAGACGAGTTTGCAGACGAGGATGCCATAGCGGCGATGGATTTTATGTGAATTGGAAATATGAATTCGAAAAAGCAACGATAACGATTGATGTACTTAAGAAACGAACACTGTATATTTTTTAGCATTGTCTGTGCGCAGTATAGGCAATACTAATTAGTTCATATTGACGCAGCAATGAATGTGGCCTTAGAAGAGTGAACGATCTTTTACTAATACTATTTTGTAGAGATACTTCGTACTCCTGTAAATATAATAGAACCAACAAACAGCTCATGTTCTATTTAGCCATTATTTTTATTATTATTAGATTATTCAACGTCTTTTGTGACTATAAAAATAGAAATTACTTTAAGTGTTGCAATATGTTAGTGTATTGTTGAAGATTTACCAGTTTATTCACCGTCACTGGTAGATTACACATGCAGCTGCAGTTGGGATTGCATGGATGTATACTATAGCGCCTGCAATTTTAGAGCACCTGTAGATTTTAAGAAGCCTAATAATATTCCGCCCATGGAATTGGCTAGAGCGCCTAAACTTAGGTACCGGCTTACCGTTGTTTCCAGTGCCGACAACTTAAGTCAATGCGATACGTTATCATGTTTTTGCAACGATGCTCAATAAGTTATGTATAACTATAGCTGCAGGTCTAAAGCACCCGTTTTAATCATGTTTAAATCATGCGAACGTTTCCCATACATATCTGTTATACAAGGTTTAGATCCTACAAGTGGAAGGTTAGTTCGATTTTGGAGAGCTAGTATTCCCACAGATGTCATTGCAAGAGCTTAAGACATCGAAGCTTACTTTACAAATGAGCCACCTAGAAATACAAACCCGACCAAACAAGGAATAGTTACTTCTCTGCTATAAATTTCGTCTGCATGCACAATGGGGGTCATACATACCTACTGGAACCGAACGACTGTACCAGGATAAAGCATTAATTTACTATTGTTTACTAGAGAAGATAGCACAAGAATATGAAAAAATGATAATTCACATTCACCTTTATATATAATAATAAGTTTGCTAAACGATAGCGATGCGAAGTGAATCGTGTTGCGCAGGTGCTCTATGGGTGTCGTTAGGTAAGGGGTCATGGGCGGTTGGAAATGAAACACTGTTGAATCTGTCGAGTTATCGTCTATTTAATAATATAACAATTGATCGCATTACATTATACTACTACAAGTAACTCTTGAGCCCCGACCTCTGCAACAGCTCATTTGCTTCTTCTTTCTATGTTACTATCCCTGTCACAACACAACTTATTTTTTATTATTATATACATGCTAAAATTGACATGGCTGTTACCCACAATAGATCAATGGACGGGTGCAAATACATTTATACCATAGGATTCTTCAATCTGTACGAAACGAACCAAGTCTGAAGACTCAATCTAAATGAGCTGTGCATTTATATATCAGAAAGTGTAAAAATTAACATATTCAGAGGGGTCACCAAAGCCAAGAAAAAAAATAGTGTTGACTGCCCATGCTAAAACATCCTGGTAATCTCAATTATTTAATTATCGGTTAGCACCGCAGCTAAGCATAACAGTATCTGGAAGTTGATGACAGCATTTCCACACTTTTATCACTTGATTCGCGCTGGTTCGTATGGTCTATAGCCCCGTCTATCTCACGAAGATATTTGGCCCTTGAAATGAAAATAATTATATGAGAGATCAGTGAGCCTTTTCTAACACGATGCCCTGTCACACTTTATAAACTTATTCAATTAACAATTGCGCTCATTTACGCAGGCCTCCGTTATTGTCCTTCTATTTTCCATGCGGATGCCCCCTTCTTCAATGAGCAAACATCTATAGAGTCAAACAATTTTTTTGTGAAGTTGTTGAACAGAATGAAATGTACGGTCGCGCCGATCAGAACACCGATTTTAGACCAGCCCTTGAAAACTTCCTAACCATAATCCTCATGGATATGGTACTGAAAATATGACAAATGCTCCACCTTAGCTAGCATTTAACACGTGTTAACGTCTCAACAAAATTTGGGATCTACCTAGTACGCGAAACAAATTAATCTCCGACCATCGCCGTTTCGGTTACACTCATCATCTTTTATCCCATTTTAAATCCATTATTTTAAATTCTATAACCAAAGTTGAACAAACATGTAACGCTTTCAAACTACTCAGCAGCGCACCTTTAGGGCACCGGTATCTGACGCGAGTATCTCGTATAAGAATCACCTCGAGACAATCCAGGTTCTATTATTACCCTATAGTTTTTCTTTCATTTGTCATCTTTGAATACATACATACAGCTTTTCAGCATCCTCTTCCTGTTGCTGCTGAATATCACAATGCGATGCAATCAATATAATTTATAGGCGTAAATCCTGCCACGCCCTGCGCCCTTCCATTTGTCTACTCTACCATCCACTGATACCGTGGGCCCCTTCCCACCGTCACCACCACAACCCCCCTCGTAAATCATCTCCGCCGTCAAGACCTTCCCGTATTGTTGTATTATTTTTATTTAACATTACTCGTTTCAACAGTTTCCACTCAAGTTTTTTTTTAACATGTTGGTGACAGGGGCCTCCCAAGGCCGTAAACGCAACGTAACATACACTCATACTGTAGTTCGCATCTCGCTTCGTTCTTGTTTCTTGTCCGTATTCTTTGACAGTGTGATATACGCCACGCAATGCTAATGATTGAATGAATATATACCAATGCCATAGAATCATCATTGTAGTTAGCGTTGTTCTTGAGTACAACTAACTTACATTGTACATACACATATGTCAGGGTCCTCTGCTCATTTTTTGTAGTTTTCTTCTATGAGAGACACCTGTGCACATATCACTTCACGGAAATAAACAAATCACGCCTCGTTTGGCTTCTTACTGATTTGTAACCATGTGTGTTGTACGTGTAGTATCTTCTTTCGGTCATAAATGGTTGTTGTTGCTGCTGCTGCTAGTGTTTTCATTGTGTTGTTGTTATTATGGCTAGAGTTCGTATGTCATCGGGACCTTTACCATTACCTCCAATGAATATTCGTTAAGAACGAAGAATCTTTGTCGCGTGCTCGTGCATCAACGCAGTTCTTTTGCAGTGGGAGATATACCCCCATTTTGACGTAAGGAGCATTCTACAGGTCCTGTCTTAACGCCTTATGTTTTAACGTTCGTGTTTCAAACAAAGTTCTTCTCGTTCCATCTATTTCTGTCGTTTTTTTTTTCTTATTTCGTTTGACTGTGTTCATCCAGATACAGGTATCCTTCCTATCACTCGTAATTTTCCTATTCCGGCTTTGTTTTTCTCGTCTATTTTCCCAGCCTTGTTGCCATCGCGATCCTCTTCTCCCGATCGGAGCTAAATTAGAAAGGTGCTAAATGCTCCCACTCAGATGACCCGCTAGTTCCTGCACAACTGTTGACAGGTGCAGTCGTGGTCACAGAATTTCGTGACTCAACAGATCTAATTGCTGCCTGCATACTGCCTACGTAGCCTGTTTTAGCTGTTGTTAGTTGGCTAATTGCTTGGTTGGTTGTTTGTTTGTTTGTTATTGCAGCAAACGGCTGGATGTCAAAGCACCTCAGCACAAGGGACGTAATAGTATATCGAGCCATGTGGGGAGCTGTTATGAGGGTCCGGGCTTGTGCGGGACCTCGCTCCCTCTGTGGGTGGCGCTTTAGTATTTTCACGAAGACAGGGCTTGTCCGGCCACGCCTCCCGAGACCTTCGGTGCGACTCGTTAGCAATATCAGTACGGCTGGGAGAACTGCGATTGGGTACCACCTTCACCTGCAACCCCGCACGGCCAGGTGTCGCCCTGCGATAACAGACCGCATCCGCCATCGGCTTGCGATTTGAAGTCAACATCAAGATCAAGCCCTCCCGTTCCTCCGGGACCATACGGATCCTGCGAAAGTAAACCAGATGTATCCAATGCATTGTGGTGCCCGGGCTGCGTAAGGCCATCGGTCTGAGTCAGCTGAGTGCCCTTCCCAGCGCTCGCACCCAACAACAGACTGTTATTATTGACATTGCTCTGAGTGTTCGTTTGCGGAAGATGCTGTTGTTGTGAGAACAGGCCACTGTCTCCCGGACCAAAGGCCCCAGAAACGGCCTGCGTTAACTGTTGGCCTGCATCGTTCAATCCATCCTGTTGCGAAATCAACGGATTGTTAGCCGCGGCTTGAGCGTTGCGGGCAGGCCGGCGGCCTGTCCCAGCGTTCGCTCGTGTTTTACCGGTGGTCTTAGAATTTTGACGACTGGCCTGGGTAGTCATGAACTGTTGCTGCTGGAGTTGCTGCTGCAACGAGAAGTATCTGGCGGGAGTTCCAAGACCGCCTGGTCCTGTACCAGGATGGTGCTGCTGACCTAGCGGTGTCATGAAGACGCCCATTGGTAAAGCCGCAGCTGGTCCATGCATATTAAATGCTGCAGGCTGAGGCCGATCAGCTGCGATGTAGCTCATTGGATCACGACCGAAAGGGAGGACGTTATCGGCTCGCCACTGAGCCTGCTGTGCCGAGTAAGTCGAACCAGTGCCTGAACCTAAACGGGCGTCCAACATTCCGTGATGTGCACCGCTCATTGTACTAAGACCGTGGTGCTGCTGATGATGACCTGGGCCTACGCCACTCGGCATGCTCAGTCCTCCGCTGTTCAACGGCCCATTGCTAGTACTACTATCTCCCCGAGCGCCGCTTATCGAATTCATAGCATGTCCTGCCACATGTTGGTCCGCTGAGCGGGCAAACATCGCCGTATTCATAAAGGGGCAACTTAATCCACTGATGCCACTGAGACCCAGATCTCCAGGGCGGTCAAGGCGTCTCGGTCTCTGAAGCTGTAAAAGGCTCTCTCGCAGATTTGTAAGTGGGCCTTCAACAAGAACGGAATTATCTTTGTAAAATGCCAACAAGTGATTCCAGAGCGGCTGTTTCGCCAGCACCTTCGGATTGCCAACAATGATTAAACCAAAACGAGCTCTGGTTAAGGCGACATTAAGTCGCCGAGGATCGTTAAGAAAACCGATTCCTTGATGTTCGTTCGATCGGACACACGACATGATAATCAGATCCTTCTCGCGACCTTGGAAAGCATCAACGGACGCCACTTCGATGTCTTGATAGAGTTTAGCATGAAGCGATCCAGAATATTGCATGTGCTGAACAAGAAAGGCACGTTGCCCTTCGTACGGCGTAATAACGCCAATTTGCTCAGGCTTCACTGAACTTCTAAGGAAACGCGTGGCCATTTTTTCTACGAGGGCCGCTTCCGTCCGGTTTAGGTAGGAGGTTCCACTGGCAGCGATCTCTTCTTGGCCGTTACAGCACCAGAAGAACATCGGTTTATCGGCCTGTTAAAAAACGATAGAAATACCTTTGTTAGAAAAATTGTCGTGTTTCACAATATGGGTGCGCCAAGTACCGTATATATACAGCAACACAGAAATCAAAATTTAAGAACTGAGGCAAGCAAGAACTAGTGTTGTAGTTTTGCAAGAGCCGTTTACGCGTTACTGTCGACGTGGCAGTAAATCTGTCCGTGTTCGAATTCGTAGGATATTATATTATGAAACAAGAATACGCGCACCTGCGGAAAGGGGAAGTCAACGCCTTTGAGCCGGCGTTCCTCGGCAAATACGCCATTTTGGAGAGATCCTTCGTAAAACAAATTTGACGGAAATTCCGAGAGTGCGGGATGCATACGGTATTGAACCTCGAGTCGAAGAGGACGGATTCCAAGCAGTACGAGACGCTCGAACAGCGACTGCGCAAGCCCCGCGCGGGCTGCCCTTTTGCACATGACAACGGGGCCCAGTTGACAATGGTCGCCAACTAAGATCAACTGTTTCGCTCCCAGAACCACCGGAACTGTAAGTGTTCATCATATATTAGCTACGATTTTGTGTAATTGTGCAAATTTGTCAATGAAACTAGCTATATCTTTTTGCAGGTATCAATCCAATTTTATATAAAAAAAGACCTGCTCGGTTAATTCGTAGATAAATCAGTGAGCAAACAAAATTAGCGCATATATGCAAAGCAGAACACAAAGCTACAAACAACAACTTCTAGGATCTAAAATAACCATAACTATGGATACTTCTCGACAGAGACCACCTGCCATAGGGCATTGGAAACGCTGAAACTATTGAAGGAGAACCGTGATAAAAGCACGATCTCACAGACACCCGTACCATGGCCAACCGTTTGATGAAAATGAACGCCGCTGAACTATTTTCTGGAAGTTTTTTTGCAAATATAAGTCCTTGGACCTGAATTTCTGTAATTGAGGAGGAGCTTAAAGAACGTATTCGAAAAAATGACGCCTGAATTATGTAGAACACCTGTCGAAACTTGGTTTAGCTTATTAAGAGACATTAAAGCGGTCGCCTGAATGGCAAAGAAAAAAAAAAATATTTTTTTTTTTTTTTTCTTTGATGTCTCTTAATAAGCTAAACCAAGTTTCGACAGGTGTTCTACATAATTCAGGCGTCATTTTTTTTTTCTAATGCTGCACCTAAACAAAATAGACATTATAACAAAACTATTTGCAAGTAACAAGCTTCCATCGCAGGTTTTCCAAACAACTTTTCAAACGTATACTAATCTACTAGGGGGCTGCACGGCGGTCATATGTGCTCATTCCAGAGTACGTTCAGATTCTCAAGCGGATAGCCCTACACTAATATGAGTAATAAGGAAAGAAACGACGCCTTTTTCACTGGACATAACACTCAAGCAATGAGTATTTGCTGTACATTTGTGACATTAGTCATTATGAGTACATCCTTTGCGTCCCCGTGATGGCGCAGAGTTAAACGTGCTTGTCTACTAATCTTCACGGCATGAGGTAGATTAAGTTCGAAACTGGGCGTAAACACACCCTCGTTTCGTGCTGAGCGCCAGACGTCTGAAACAATACTCAACAGCAGTACCGTACACGAACCTCCAAACAACACATTCTGATTCGTCAGTTAGCCAGAGATCATTTCTGTCTAACGACAGAATTTTTTCGCGTTAAAACAAAATTGAAACCAACTGCTTTACTCTCGAAACAATTAAAGAGCAAACGTTCATATATTCTAGCTTCATTGGATTCAAAAATCGTCTGCCTCATTCGTATGACATACGAAGTGCATTTAAGTCCTTTGGAAACAATCGGTTGCTTTAATTTAACAAGATGTTGTAATAATACTCGCCTGAAATTTCTTTTAACAAGTTTATGTAAACAAGGGAATCATTAGCAATACATTAAATGACGTTGATTATCCCTATGTCGTTTTTATTATTTTCCTTCTATGTCGTTCTTTCCTTCGTCGAGGATTTTCCCTTCTGCTGTGCTGGAATTTACTTGTACAGCCGTGCACTCATTTACGAGAAGGTACACTCTATAAGCATTACGGCTACGCTACATCAACAATCTTAATGGAGGTAATGAAAATATCGGATGATAAAATATCGGATGATAGCTTCACTGAAAGTACGAAAATGGCACGACTTCCCGCTATGGCTGCAAGTCTGTTCATATACTTCCTATAACCAGCCTTCCTCTAATAGTACTTTTCTAATAATAGTACTGGCTTCAGAAGAACCCATTTGTGAAAGAGGCGAATTGTCGAAAACGGTTCTAGCATAGGGTCTAGTCTATCATTTTATGATAAAGTGATAAACTAGACCCTGTGTACTTTTATAAAAGTATTATATATATAAAGTAAACACCTGTGTGTAGGGAAAATAGCTATTTTTTTTAATGTGTAACTATAAACACGTTATAAGAACGTATGTGGTCATATGTCCCTGCTTACCCATGCATTCAGGTTCGGTGGCTTGCATGCATTCATCGATGAGAATGGAGTGGAACTTCAACCGCAGAAGTCGAGGATCGCCTGCTCCCACACACGTACAGCAGATGACGTCAGCTGCTTCGAGCAGCTCACGTTCACAAAGGCGTTTCAGTGTCCGATAACGCTTTTCATCGGCTGAGGACAATTCGCCTGTCTCATCTTTAAGTTGCTGCAGTTTTTTTAATTCGGAAACGTGCTGGCTAGCGTTCGCTTCCATATTACGTACCTGGTTATGTAGGGCCAAGAAGCTTACCGGCGAGTTAATAGCTTCTCGGCTCTTGGCGCACAGACGCACTACCTGAAAAAAGATGTCAGACGAGACCATTTAGTGGTGGCGGTGTGACAATGTTATGACCATACACCGCGCACTACAGTCGCGTACAAGACTATAATATATATGATATTTATCATTGTTGGCTGGAGGATCTAAGCCGATTAACCTTTAGTCTTGTTCGGTGGATCTTCTCGGTCAGCTGATCAACTGCTATGTTGGACGGTGCGCAGACGAGTACAGGTCCGTGCCCCTGTTTTGCAAGATGAAACACGATTGACGCTGAAGTCACCGTTTTACCAGTACCTGGTGGCCCCTGAATCAGTGACAACGGCCGCTGGAGAGCATGCCGCACTGCAAACACTTGTGAACGATTCAATTCTGGTAGATTAGGTGCCGAGAAATGTTTAGGAAGTTGACACCGCAACACGATGTCCTCGACTTCGTGGCCAAGTAGACGATGATAAATATACCTGGATGCATGAGGAATATGACAAAAGCACCAATAATAGTATCAAAGTTGATATTAGCACCTATTTTCTTATTGTAGCTATATTATTACTTCCATCCATCGCCTTCAACCAAACTCACCCAACCAGAGTTATCTATGATCGATGACATCAAGTATTAGGTACACCAGTTCTTCAACTTAACAGCTCTTAAGGTCATCACTAAATGCTAAGTACAGTAAAGAAACGCAAAAAAAGTTCCGGCCGGCGGTATGTCATTCCACCTACCCAGATACAGATGCTTCATCCACAGCGAACCTTCGTAGCGCGGCTTGCATCCTCTCGAATGAAGTCGCTTTCCACACGAAGTCAACAACAAAGTTTACTGTACAATCGGTAGGCGGAGGACTTGCATGGGCTGGAGCCGCCTTCAACTCAATACCAACTTCTTCCGAGTGTGAATCGGGAATCTTGATTACATGACCTACACCTGACCACGGCTTGTGCATGTCGCCTGATTCGAAAAGCCACAAAAGAAAATTATTTTCCTGTTTTAAATATCTGAAGCTTGTTTGTTGTTGACGACTAGCTAAACTTATTTACTAGGCTAAAGCAACAATATAGTTTGGAAAAAATAACTACAAATGGCTTCAAGTCTAATAGACACGGTATTTAGAGTAAATGGCTAGCTCCTTGTAGCCACAAATAAATAACCATAATAATAATCGTAATGGAGGTTTATTTAGCTTCCGTTACGATTGACTAAAGAAAATCTTCCGGCTGCAGAGTAATAGTAAGCTATTACCGCTGTATCTGTGGGCTCACATAAGTACCTCAAACCACATTACATACCGACATATCTGAGCCGAAGTTCATCTCCGTGCATTAATCTCATGTCAGTGTCAGATCGCGCAATGCCGAAATAAGCCAATGGCTTCTTATTGAGTCCCATATCCCACCGGACGTGAACATCTTCTTGTGTTTGAGCTTCCTTTAGTTTACGATCGTAGTCCGCTTCCATTTTTACCAATGGCCCCAAGATATTTTGGTACTGGTAACCATCCTCATATCTGTAATTATCGCAATGAATAGGTTTCGATATCTGATTTTGAACCGCTAAAATAACGCTCAATTGTTAATACACAAACAACTACATTCAATGCCATAACTAGATCAGTCCCTAAAAACCGTTGGTCCCACAAGCTTTTCCACTTGTACCTAAGTAGCACTTGTTGAGGCTCTTCGTCGACGCCAGGCCGCTCAAGGTCTTGGAAGGATGCATCCACGTTGTCCTTCCAGAGCTCTTCGAGTTTGGCCATTTGCTGTGTTGAGATCTGACGGGCCCGGCGCTGCTCTGCGTCTGCGGGTGCTTTGACCAACCAAGCAAGAAACGATCGGTCATGGATCAGAGGTTTCCACTGCTCTGGATCCCAGTTCATGTCCTAAAATTTTATTTAAGATAGGAAACATTAAAAAATACACTTCGTTGACTCTTTTGTTGTTTTGGCAGTTTTCTTTATGAACTTCACCTCTGGAGCCAGCCGTTCCAGGTAGTGTCAGCTAGGGTGTAAATATTCTGTATAAGTGCTATATTAGTGTGTGTGATTTTTCGATTATCCCTTGTGTAATGTAAAGTATTTAGCTGCGCAGCATAAGGTCTTACGCATGCTAGAATTAATCAGTCATTTCCATATGAATTACCTTGAGAGAGCTCTGCGAAGCACAAGGATGTCTGCAGAGAAGAACCACAACCGAGTCCGCCTTTGCCGGAATAAAGCCGAGTACGAAAACATTTCGGCAGCCACAAGCATAACATTCGAGTGCAGTATCGCCTAGTGGACCGTCACGGTGGAGCGTTACCTCGCGATGCTTAGCACGTACAAGGTGGTTTACCATATGGCTGTAATGGTCGCATAATAACGGTTCATCAACGATATTTCTAAGAAAGTAAACCGAATACTTAGTTTTGTTTTTAGGCATTAATAAGTAAACATATAATGAATGATAAAAAATTTAATTTTAATTAAAAAAATAAAAGAAGCTTTCGAATTATCAGTGCATACCTTCCTGATGTTGAGCCTCGCCCATTACAAAACCATCGTTTGCAAATATTACATTGAAGAACGCAAGCAGGATCATGTATGCCACAGTATTTGCATGCGTGTGCCGGAAGTTCTGATGCCGGCATTCCTGTGCTACCGCTGCCTGATAGGCCGCCATCGCCTCCAAGGCCCCCTAACCCGTCCGCATCATCTGGGTCATCTTCAAAGTTTAGTTCAAGTGCTCCCACCTGTCGGGAGAGCTCCTCAACGTCGTTGCATCGAGTATCGATGTCAATGTCATTGGTATCGTCCAACTAAAAGGAGCGCAGTACAACCGAAGCCTACTTTAGTCGAATACATTTCCTAGTATTACCATAGTGCTTGCGATATGAAAATATATATTGCAATCGAATTGAATAGCTCGCTCGAACAGTGCTAAATATTTTTTTTATAATATGCAGTAAAAGTATGGCAGAATGGAGAAAGTAACGAAGCAGAAGCCACCAACGTGCTATGCTAATATAACGCTAAAATGTCTCTTCTATAAAGCTATTACAGAGAAAGCACTCTTATGAATACACTATTATTGTCTTTACGTACCTGCTGTGACTTGCTGCTTAGATCCGTGAGCTGTTCGTTCTTTTGAACATCGAGGTGGTCAACATTTCCCAGGCTGCTAACTCCGCTTTGCTGCTGAGAATCAAGAAGACCTGCCCCTAATATTAGAAAATAAAATTTAATTTTTATAGTGAATGAAATCATGTCAGCGCAACACGTTTCGTCCGTACATTAGGTTAAAACAGTATCCTAGGTATTACCTATTATTTTGTTTCTCATTATCTCGTTTTGTGGCACACTACACAGATTGCGCAATCGATACAGTTTGCTAATTCGTTTACCGTCTACTCGAAATAACGGTTAACTGCACGACACGGAGTGGCCGACATTGATCCATGCATATATCTCAGCCCTTTCCATATCTTTATCTACATGACGGTATACTAAATCCACGTACTTACCACTAATAGTGTGGTGCGAATGATGGAGGTGGTGGTGGGATCCTGACGCAGCTGTGTGAGGCTGTGTCGACTGCTGAGAAGGCATCGTAAAATCGGTGAAATCGAATTCTGAACCCTGCGTGTCTCCGGCAATTTCCCCTGCGACAACATCGAGGAAACTTAATGCCTGACTCGAGCCAGGACCTCCGACTCCACCTAAACCGTATCCACCCCCATTAGTGGCTCCAGTTCCTTCCATTCTAAAGGAGATTGTTTTACATGTTAGAAAAACCTAGTGTAATCACATATCTAATGAACATTTCAAGGTGGCTTTGGTGAGGTCATATATTTTTCTTAACCAAAGGCTCAACAAAGCTCTTCAAATACACATAATATACACAACAAATCATCATTGAACAGAGAGCATTTGAAGATATCAAATGCTTTTTTCCAAAAATTAAAGTTATATAATTATAGTTATATAACTATAATCACTAGTTCATATATATATATATATATTATATATATATATATATAACTAGTGACAATCGTTATAACATTATATATAGTTATATACATCAAGATATATGTATATAAATAGTTAACCATGGGTCATTGAGCACAGTAAATCTATACTAACAAAAAACCAACCTTTTGAAAAATTACCATGTGTATAAGCAAATAAAGGGCTAAACGCGGGCGTTTGGCGAAAGTTTCGTATGCCTTTGCCATTAAATTAAAGTGGGTGAGTTGTTATGGTCTTTTTTAAAATTTTTTTATTTTATGGCAATGTCGTACAAAGGTGCCCCACGGGGAGAGATCACACGTGACTTATGCTACTCATTGTTGCTTTGAGCGGAGGTACCTAAAAATTCGAACGGGTTTTTTGTTGGACAAACTTGTTCTTGTTTCAGTTAATTATAAACCAAAATTTCGAAAATATCAATTACCGACTAAAACGATAATCAAATTATGGATGGTGAGAAATGCTTCCAGTTCGGCGCTTCTTAGTTGCAGACATTACAACTAATAATGTTATTTGCAGCAATTTTTAGCAACCAACAATTTTTTAGACTGTTTGCCGCTAAGGGATTAAGGGAACCTCACTGTAAGCTATATGTAAGTGTTCTAGTAAGCAGAGGCGACATTTGGCCTCACAAGTCAGGCCACACGATGATGCTCGGTTAAGACTAAAAGCTGTTCTTGTTAGTGAATTTGAAACAAAGAGATCGGGTTTTAACCAAATGCATCAAGTCTTACGGACAAAACGGATCTCACTTTCCCTCCATATGGCATGTTTCATTTAAAACACACACACTTTAATCCATCCACGAAGCTTAAATCAGAGTATCTGCTCTATTTACCGTTCGAAAAACTAAACAAACACGTTTATTGAATTCGCTTTTCCTAAAACAAATGTGCTGTCGCCAACTAAACAACGTCACTGTGATGAAAGGTACGTCATATTAAATTTAACAACCTGTAACAGGTTATTTCAACTAAGCATTACGTACGAATCATGACTCACACAAACCGCGCGAATATCCGTTTAACAGATAACCTCCTTCATTTTTCCGATGTGTTTGGATTATGTAGATGACCTCACCCAATCCCAAAGCATGTCACTATGAATTCTTGAATAAAGAAAGAAAGTCGAAAATAGCTTGCTTGTATATGCATTACTCAGACCATACTAAAACTCGAAAAAATGAAAGTCAACAACCACACTCGTGTTTTTTTAAATTAAGTCAAATTAGCCTTTACAATGTAAAAGGTGAGGCAATATATTGACAACTATGGGACACGGTCGTCTGTTTGAACATGTCAAGTAACATTGAAGTAGGCGAACTACTCACATACTGCTGCTTCCTGAATCCAACCGAACTTTAGAATCCAACCAAAAAAAAAGCATGTAGCTATATCATTAATCCAAACCATCTCTCACTAAAAAAAGTTAAAGACACAATAACTTTAGATACGGTCCCCATGGAATGCAAAGCATTGTAAGGAATAAAATCTTTAGACTATGTAGATAGGCAGAATAGGCGCATACATGCGACAATAGAAAGGTGAAGCAGAACGTACAACAGGTGCGTCGATTCCAATGTGCGGCTGATTCGGGCAAATGGGTCCCTCCTTGGGCATTTTGTCAGACGTGGCAGAGACCAAAAACTAAAAAGCCCTGGAAGTGGGTAAATTCTAGGCGAAAAGCTGACTAGCGATGAAGGCTTCAGAAAGCATTTCTAGAATTGTTCTTTATAATAGCTTCGTTATACTTCCACACTAAATGGATAAAAGAAAACTACGGTCTGACAGATACAGTTTGTATTTTAAGTTTATGGTGTTATTAATATTTACTGTATTCTACGAACGGCTATCATGGATCGTGCTTTACAGCTAAACAAACGACAGTTCGCTTTATTTGTAAAGTATCACTACCGACGTTCAGCGTGGTGACAGCTGTAAACGGCTGTTGTAATAAAACAGCCGTTTACACAAAAATCCTATTAGATGTGTGAGGACTTCTGTAAAAACTTCTATATGTCAATAAAATTAACGGAAAGTAAAATCTACCAACAATAACGAATCCTCTGAATAAATGAAGCACGACATTTGCCAGTAGTATAAGCAGGAAATTCGACACGAGCAGCGGAAACGCAATTTGCTGATATTTGTAATCTGTTCAAAACAAAAACACGCAGTTTTCCATAAAAAAATACGGATAACTTACTGTTCGTGTTAAGCAATAAAATCTGAAAACGTAGATAGCTTGAAGCCACGCAAACTCTGCAGTTGTCTACTCAGGTTTCGCGTGTAAACTTTTTTGTTATTGTTTGGTCAGGATTGCGCAAATGACTATTCAGCTCTGAGAACCCGTAGCGCAGGCAAGAGTTTTTGTTTGCCAAGTTATTTTATTGTTCATACCATATCTATATAATCTAAGCTGGATTTCTCAATGAAACACAAGGAGGTCGACTTAGTAATACGGGGAGGGGAATGCATGTAACATAATGCCCAGGAGCAACTCACCAGTTCCTGCCGCGCTCACGGCAAAGGACTGACAGATCTCATTTTGATTCAGGTGAAGAATGTCACCCAATACTTGTTACTCCAAATCGTCCAATGGTAACAACACGAACGGAAAACTTAAAAAAAAATAAGATAATGACGACTTGCAAAAAATCTCCAGTAAGAATTCTCGCCTCGGCGCAGACTTCTTTTTACGTTGTATATTATGCTCATGTATTAGGGAAGATTATAAAACTTGCAAACAGAGAGAAACTACAACAATCGCGGCAACACAAAACAGCTTACCAGATGGTTTAAGTGGAATCTATTTTCCTTGCCAGGTCCTTGCTACCAATACAACATAGTAATTATGAGGCTACCTTACATCCAGCACCTACTGAACGGATAATGTAGACTATGGGAAATGCCCACTTACCTTTTTCTTTCAATGTGCTTAAGCGAGTACCGCAAATCTGTGTCGATCTAGCTCGATTCGTCCGTGGGCAGCAGTCGAGTCCAACTGCCTACCCAACCCACGACGACGCCGTTTGTGATCGCGATGTGCCCCGTTCGACAGAGCAAGAACTGTTGTTTCTTGTCGGCTGCGGCAGTAGCGTATTTGACTTGTGTGCTACAATAGATCTTTATCTGGTAGTCACCGCTGACGGCGGCGGTGATCGACAACGCGCGTTTAGCGGTGACGCTGTCGTCGTAGGTGGGTCTTGCTTGCCCCCCCCGCTGTTCGCTATTGGCCTCCGTTTTGGCGAATATCCCGCTCGCTGCTGCTAATTTCTCCGATGAATTTCTTTTTTTTTAGCAGTAGACAACAAATAATCGCTTTTCGTTGTTGAACTATTGTTTTGCCACTGGCTGTTCCTCTCTGCGATTGACGGCAGTGGCAAAGCAATCTGACACTAAGTGGAAATCTGTTCTGACCGTACATCGACCAAATTGGGCAATCGACAAATGGAGCACAAAAATCGCTCACTACTGGCCTTTTCGTCAATAGAAGCTCCCAACGAATTAGATCAAATCAGCTTACTTCAAGTCAATTATTTAAATCGGATTCATTAATACACATTTGTTAACATACCCCTGAACCCCTTCTCTCCCTGCCTCGATCGTTCACTGGTATCTTTCGCGCTTTTCGTTATTGCTTGTTGTCGTTGTTATCGCCGGTTTTGTCGTCAAAGTGTGTTTCAAAGGTGGTAGCAGTGTGAACGGCACAAATCAAACACTTGCACAGATGCGACTTACATACTTCAACTGACTGACACAACAATAATGAGGATAGTAATGAACGATAATAATAATCAATAAGGGATGATAATAGTGAAATTTCAGGAGGAAGATGACGAGGACAACAACACCGAGAGCTACAATACAACGCGATCAGTCAGTCAACGTAAAGAAATGTCGTTACATTTATGAAAAACGTTCTTCTTTGCCTACTGTTGGTCTTAGATTCTGTAAACGTCATCAGCGATGCTCCTTTACAGGTGAATAATCTCTTCGATGCACTCTTCTCGGCGACCACCTGGTCAACGAATGGCTGTTGTGGATAGGCAAAGCAAGGCGCACGGTCGGGAATAGAGCTCGATTTACACAGCGCTAATGCATACGGTCGTGGATGATTGAGCGCATGAACGAACCAAGCTACGAATCAGCCATAAGCGTCTCTGCTTCCCTGTTTCATGTATCAATGAATAGCGGTAGCAGACACAGCAGAAACAAGTCACTCAGTATCAACCACAGTATTCCGTATAACAAGCGTTATGATTCTAGTAACAGTTGTGGGGTCATAGCACTTAGTTGCGATGCCGTTGAATGCAATATATATGCAGGTTTAACAGGCATACAAGTAGGCAGTAGGAGGACAGAAGGGTTACACCAACGTCGTCAACATAACGAACCTGCCTGGAATGAACTGTAATTACTGCTGCCGTTGATGTAGTAGGACCGCCGCACGAGTTGCGGCGGGAGCGCACAGCAAATGCAAAAGGCTAGAGAAAACTAGAAGAAACACGAATGGACTATAGCAAATGATGATGCTGGTGTCAGTAATCAACAGCGGTCAACAAGTTATCACTGATAATATCATCATCATCATTTTTTTTTTCGTTGCGGAACACTCACAACCGCATACTCAGTCCATCACGTTCACGGACGAATCTACTAGTCAGCAGTCGCGCCTTTCCCCAGCTACTCAGACCCACTTTTCTCTTCCCGTATCTATGGTTCAGGTTGTTATTGTTGTTGTTGTTGTGGTTAGAATGATACTGATGATTTTCTCTACAGTGAGACGTTACTGATTATTACCACCATCACAACCATTGCCGACGACGTCCGTCGCTAGTGGTCAAAAGAGACAAGAAGTCGTTGTTTCAAGTCCCGCCAACAACGCGGTCAGCTACACAACCTGTGTGACCGAAATATGTTATGCTATCGCCACTAACTTTTAAAATGACTAATACTGCATAATATCATCTAGTAGCGACACCAACCATTCCGTCGCTTGGTCGAGCAGGCCTGCGGCCGTGCGGGCGGGCGGTTGGCCGAGCGGGCAGTAGGTCAGGCCGTGTATTGTGGACGTGTTCTGGTGTGTGCCTATTTATGTTGCGCCGTTCTGTTCCACAGTAGATTGTAAGAAATAAGTAGGTGGACTGGAAAGCAACAGAGAATCTCTGTTTGTATTCCGCTGTGGGCGGCTGCAGAAAGCAAACAATGGCTTCTTTCACACCACACGGATGCAACGACAACATCCGGCACCGGCAGCAAGCAAAATGATAGTCACAATAGTCAAAGCAGCAGTTTATGGTAACGCTGAAGGGGATAATGAGTCCGGCTCATCGAATCTGCGAACAACCATATTGTTACGGCGTTGCGATAAATGAAGCAGACGACATTCTAAGTCGGCAGCTCTCACTTATGCCACTGAAGCAGCACTAACAATGGATTAGTAATAACTGTAAGCTCTCATCTTAAATAGGTTCGTTGGTCCGGAAGGCATTCTGCTATTTCTAGCGTCAGCCCACAGTACTGCTGACCGAAGATCTGAGTCAGCCAAGAGTGAAGTTTTAAAAGGCAAACGGTTTATAGACCAAGGATATCTAGTCCTTATGACTAGATGGAATAAATCGTTCGCGGATCTTGTTGGAATTCAGCCCGGCAAATTATATATGATAACGCGTAAATAGGCGTAAACTAATATTAAAAAAAAAACGTACATGACAGATGCTTAGACGGAAACAGGAAAGTGATATATTTGTTAAACGCGGAATGAGGAAGATAAGTTTCAGGCAAGGGGTAATATTATACTAACATTTACATTGTCTTTTATGGCACTACATTCGTTGGAGAAATGATGCTTGAAACATAATCGTTTATTAAATTCAACTTTGCTCCTTGGTTATTCGTCATAAACTAGAAAAGTTAAATTTACGGCAGAGTGTACCGAAAATCATATTTTATTCTTCAATACTAATGTTTTCAATAACAGCAGAATTAACTTAATAAAAAAAAGACATTACTGAAGTACACAAAATGGGAAACGCAGAAAAAAGTGGTTTCTAAGAATTGTTCTTTGTATTGTAACCAAAACACTTCTTCAGTGAGATCAATCCGCGCGGAATTCGTTAATTTTTAGCAAGGCACCGACCACCATCGAATGACACCAATGGCGCCCATCAAGAACCATCAAGTGGTGAATTGCGAGTTTTTATCCGTAGGTGGCCGTCAGTGAGTAGTCACGGTGAGGCTGACTGAAAGGATCTGCACAACTTCTGAATTATTTTTACTGCGGCTGTTTGGTTCATATACAAAAGTGATTAACAAGGTCGCCGCATTGTTGGAGAAATAAACCAATCAGTGGAGTGTATTTTTTATTGTGGACGTGCTAATATTAGAGTGTTTAAGATGCCTGACTATTTCGGGGACAATATGCGAAAACAACGAAATTCGGGCGATGAGAAAGAAGAAGAAATCAAAGGTACTAGTTGGATCGGTCGTACAAACCTTTTTCATGTTCCAATTTACCCTGTAGTGAAAAAGCCTGATTTATATTTTCCAAAAGAAGTATTTCAAATTCTATACAGCATATCTAATTAAATGAACGGTTAAATGGGAAGGCATTCTGGTGTTTGAACATCAACCGTATCTCACAATTAAAACGTTTTGACTTCATGCTATGTATTGTTCGACTCAATTCTTCCTTGGATGGCTATACTATAAGTTGACCCTGATTTTTTTGCTTACCGCTTCTTAGTCTGAGCTCGTTGTCTTGAGTACTGTTAAAACCATAAAAACTACAGTGATTTGAATGTCAAGAAAAAGTTCATATATCTTTTTATCCGAAGTCAGAAACTTCAATTACTTTGAATTCAAGTGATAATTGTCGTTATCAAACAAACATGACCTGAATGATGAATAACTGATGAGCTGTTTCGAATAAAATCTTCATTCAGAAACGGCTCATCAGTTATTATAAGAAGCTTAGTGGATCCATGCTTCTGTAAAGAGAGATTTACTCAGTGACATGATGTAAACAGTCTGTTTTGATAAGAAAATTCGACCTGGTGTTCGGCACTTGCTAAATTAGAAGAAAGATAACAAAAATAAGGGTAGTCAATAAATCGGAGAGTGTATAAGAGATGGTTCAATATGTTTATTTTTGATGTTCTAGTGTTGTCAGCCTCAAATTTTTACCTCATGTGTACAATTTAGGGTAATTAATATTTTTATTCTAGACATAACCAAAAAAGCTGAAAACTTACCATCATTAATATGGGAGTGCTTACTGCCTTGTGGGGGCTGTCGTGGATGTTCAGTATGTTTTCAAAAAACTAAAAAGATTCAAAGTGGTACGCGATCGCGCAAGAGGCATGCGTATTTTCAGATACATACTACGTTTGTTTTGTCTGATGGGAGAAGCATATGTATATATTAAAATATATATTTTTTGGTGTGTATAGGAAGATCTGCTACATGTATGTTTGTACAGCGTAATTGCTTTGATCAGTTTTAATGCAGAAGCTAAGCCGCTCATATTCATTTTTAAAGTCTTTTTCTAAATTTGGAATCAACATTTTAATTGTGGCCGTTAAGGCTATAGTGGTATATGAAGATTCACTGTAGTTTGGTTCTAACAAAAAACCTCCAACATTTAAATATTTGGGCATATAGTAGCCGAAATAACGCGTATTTGTCATGACAGACAAGTTGCAAAAATATGTTCCATATCAAGTCTCTGTTATTATTATCACCGCCCTGTTTAGGCATTGCTGCCACAGGTTACCATTTTTTCAAAACATCAATATATATATAGAAACTGAATTTGGAGACTTCTTTTTTGAAGGATCTTTGGAGGAGAGAAACTCTCATACTTCAAACATCTACTGCAGCGGCATAATGTTATTATCGCAAAGATAATGGATAATAATTGTAAGAAACTATGCTTGTA